TCGGCCAGTCGATCTCCTAGGGGAACTAGAGCCGGCTCTTGAACACTTCACCAAGCTACCCTGCTTGTCGGTCCGTGTTCACTCTAGTCTTGGACTTCCCAGTGGGCAGCTCATCACCCAACACTAGGTCCAGCCTTCCTGGGCTAAACTGGCCTTTCCTGGCCAAACTGGCTCCACTGCAGTCCTCCCTCTACTATACTTTTGGAGCTCACCAAACCCCCCAGGGTCTGGGAGACGAACGCTTTGGGCTTTCACCCTCTCAGACTCGAACTCGGACTCGGACTTGGACTCAGACTCAGACTCGGACACGGACTCGGGCTCGGCCTCGGCCTCGGTCTTGGTCTCAGTCCCGATCTCAGTCTCGGTCTCGGTCCCGGTCTTGGTCCCGGTCTCGGCCTCGGCCTCGGTCTCGGTCTCGGTCCCGGTCTCGGTCCCAGTCTTGGTCCCGGTCTCGGTCTCGACTTTGGACTCCATCTCGGGTCCATCTCGGACTCCATCTCGGACTCCATCTCAGGTCCATCTCGGGTCCATCTCGGACTCCATCTCGGGTCCATCTCAAACTCCATCTCGGACTCCATCTCGGGTCCATCTCGGACTCCATCTGGGACTCTATCTCGGGTCCATCTTGGGTCCATCTTTGGTCCATCTGGGGTCCATCTCGGACTCGATCTCGGGTCCATTTTGGGTCCATCTCGGACTCCGTCTCGGGTCCATCTCGGATCCATCTCCGGTCCACCTCAGAGTCCACCTCGGACTCCATCTCGGGGTCCTTCTCGGACTCCACTTCGGACTCCAACTTGGGTCCATCTCGGACACTTCCACGTGTCATGTGTTAGTCCTTTTTGGGTCCCTTTTTGGAGCCTCGCTTATGGCTCGCTTCGTGCTCATTCCTCAAGCACTTTGTTAGGGGTTCCACTCCCGCTCTCAACCTTTCAAGGCAGAGCTTTTAGTCCAAACGTGTTACGCTCATTTGGCTTTCGCTTCGGCCACTACCACGTGGCGCCCCTCCGGCTCTACTTTGGGGCCTTGGGATTTTGTGTCTCACAGAATACTCCTATTAGGCTTCCTCACAAGATAAGGTTCACATGCCCAAAGACTCTGTAACTTCCGAATAACACCCTTCTCCAACATCTCCTTGACGTTTGCAAGTAAAATCTTGATCTCTTTGGATGACCGACAACGAACAGAAACCTTGATTGGATGAGCATCCTTGGTTGGAATCAGATGATGTGTGGTAATCTTAGTCCTAGAAGATAGGTCAAATTCAAAAAGATCAGAATACTCCTTCATAAGCCAGCCAACCACTATAGCACAAAGATGGTCGGGAGGATCGGAAAAGGGAAGAGTAGAACAAAATAAAAACATAGAAGGAAATAATGGAGGGACAAAAGTAATGGAAGTAGAGGTAAAAGTAGAGGATGAAAAGGTATGGAAGTGAAAGGCATATTCTAACTACACTCGAATTTTTATTTTGTACGTAGATGCCTTTGATATTGGTCTTGGAAGTGTGTTGATGCAAGAGAGCCCAAGTGTGCTTGGTCAACACCATCCTATTGTGTATATAAGCCATACATTACAACCAGAGGAGGAAGTATGAAACAAAGGGGAGAAGTTTCAAAGTCACACTTGGAATGATTGCACTACAACCAATCCATACCAAGGATGAGGTCAAAAAATTGACTCGACACCACCCGCAATGACTGCAACCCAAGCTCGAGATTGCCCACATGCACAACTAAATCCTCCTCATCCGGTGCACATACATGTGTATGGCCATTACCATAAAGAATAAAAATTGGCTCCACCGCACAACGTAAGTGTAGACAGCAACGTGTGACAACAATTCGAGCAAACTCGAACCTATATCAACCAATATAAAGAGAATAATATGAGACCTTTTTTTATAAAAATGAACTTAGAAAGTAAACACTGGATGAACTGGTGTTAAGTGAACCCCTTGATGATACTCTTGAAAGAAAGATGGAGAGGTTATTGACTTATTTACACAAGGTCCTTCCGTTACTTACATGACTCCTCACTTCCCAGATGCATCTCGGTGTCCAGACCTTCCACTGCAATAGCACCAACAAGACATTATTGACGCCTAAGTCTCCACCCAGGAAAGGGAGGTCTCCAATCCGGAAAACACTGACAACACCAATAAGTATGACCAACTTCATCACACACCCAGCAACGAACATCATGGCCATGACCACATCCTTGCCCTTATCCTTGGACTCGAGCAGCAATAACCTCCATTGGAACAGCACCATCACCCATAGGAAGTGGAGTAGAAGGATGTGTAGTGAGAAGTGGAAAAGGCAACATCTCATAATGTTGTGCCAAGTGAAGAGCGTCATCAAAGGTGGCTGGAGCAAGTGCATGCACAAGTCCAACAAGATCTTGAGGAAGTGCTAGCCACAACATTCCTAGCTTGATCCGCTCCAACATATTTAGTTCTGCACGAAGCAAGAGGCTTTGGAAACGAATGCCAAATTGCATCATCGACTCAGATGGCCCTTAACGAAGATGTTGCAATTGCTGGAAGGCATCATCACAATTGTCGGCATGTCCAAATGCGCATTTGAAGATGTCCGAGAGAACACTCTAATCCCCACGAGTGGTTACACTCAAACCATTGTACCACTATAGCACTGTCCCTTGGAGACATGGAGAAACTCACACAAACGTCGAGCATCATCCCAAGTATGATATGTGGTAGTCACCGTGAAGTGATTGAACCAATGATACACATTATCCCCAAGATTCTCACGAAAGAACTTTGGCCGAACACGAAGATTGGCACCAAGAGTAAGAGGAGTTGGACCATATGCCGTGAATGCTGTCATTAATTGAGTTTAGTTGTTCAATTGCAATGGCATCAAGCAATTGTACTAATTGCTACTCCAAAGTTAGAGGAGGAAACTATTAACCATGAAGATGAATGAAAAGGAAAGAGCAAAAGAAGAGAAATGAGAAAAAACTAGAAGGAAAAGGAAATCTAGACGATGGAAAAAGTCTGAAAGGAAAGAAAAAAAAAAGAAATGGAAAAAGTTAATTTCGACAATGCAAAAGTTAGATCTAAACCAAAATCCCAAATTCAAGCATTCCTTAGGGATAATGAAAATTACCTTTCACCTCCACTAATGTGAGTGTTTGGAATATGGATAGAAAATATACATATCAATTAGCTTAAAAACTTTAACTTATATACAAAAGCGAGTGGTTCGAATTAAAACCAATCCAACAGCTACCAAAATCCCACTACGCTAATATTAATATATAACATCATAACCATATATTTAGCCTTCACAATATGAAATTAATATGTTATAAAATTAGTAAAAAAACAGTGCTAGCAAGAGTAGCAGTGCTAACAACCATGGCTGCTGGAGGTTCGTCTCTCTACACTACACACAGGCGTCCTTGACAAGTGATTGAATCTGGAGGAAATCTTGGACAGCACACAAACTCGAACAAGCAATTCTGGCGCGTCCATGAAACTAAAAGATGCTCCCTATAAGTGAAGGAGAATTTTTCTAAATAAGAGAATGGGGAAATGGAGCGCCTTGGGTCGCTGCGGAAATTTCGAGTGCGTCACGGAGCCATCGCTAGTGCTGCACACCTTGAGCTTCCTGGACGTCCCAGACTTGTTCACATTGCGGGCGGTGTGCAAGTCTTGGCACGATCCTGTGCTCTCTCCTCGTTTCGTGCAGCTCTACAAGCCACCGCTGGAGCCCTGGGCCGTGTTCAGGGTGCGCACGGGCCGGCCGGTCACGAGTCAAAGGACGCATTCGCAGGTGTCGTGGCTGTAGGCAGCGTCGTTACATGTACACTGACGATCGTTTCGACTATGGCATGACACTGGAGAATCACGCCGAGCTATGGCGTCCACACAGATCCCAGCGCAAGAGGTGCATCCTTCCACTAGGCCCTCCGGGATCGTGTTTCGTGGGCTTGTGCTCGTCCAACGGGCTCGTCTGTGGGATGCTCGTGGAACACTCGGAATCGACGACTTTGGCTGTGGGGAATCCAATCTGGAAGGCGCTTCCACCAGTTCCATTTCCCTTTAGAAGTCGTCTACATACACCCAGCCCTTCTCTGCATTGACAGCGAAAGAGATGTCACCAGTCACATTGTCATACTTTACGAACTGCAAGATCGAATTGTCCGCACGCAGCATCTTCTTGGCACGAGGGCCCCTTCTTCAGCAGGTCAAGCTCACTGGGATCACCTCTACGGGGCTGACCTTTCTTCTACACCACTAGGCAGGAGATACTCCCAACTTACGATCCGCATTCCAGAGCTTGGTCTCACGTGGACAACGCGCGACCAGCACTATGTAACCAGCTTCTTCAACACATTCGTCCCTTCATCTACAAGGGAAAATGCTGCTGGGTAATGAACATGTTTGATCTAGAGCAACAATTGTTGAAAGCAATGCAGCAGCAATCTGGGAGATGAACTCAACATCGGTGTTGGTGTAGGGAGCTGCGTGGACCTAATTCTTTTACGGATTGGGCAGTGAGACTTGTAGAGGACACCGTCTTCATCTCGGCCTTCTCTGTTGCATACGACTTTGCTCTCTCATGGAGGGTGAGGATATTGAGTGCAGATATGTGGTGCGCTTGTCTGCCCAGCCTTAAACAAAATATTCAGTCAAACTCATGAATCACTAGAATTTGAGTTATTCTCAGCAATTGTTATTAGTTTTAAATCTTCTCTCCTCCGATGTTTCCAATGTTTCTATGACTTTCCAGGTATCCAGTAGCTCAAAGTCATGTTCTTTTGAGTCACTAAAATGACTAATCCGTCGGTCCTGCGGATTCAAAATTTGGGATTGGGAACGAAGAAGTCAAACACGGCACTAAAAGAGACAACCACGCTGTAACTGAGGACACGGCACTGAAAAGAGACAACCGTACGAAAGAAGAAAGCCTACTTTGTTGTGAGAATGCTCGCTTTAGTGATTTCAAGGATCCCGCGGCCATATTCTCCCATGGGAAAATTGGTCCAAATGGTAATAGTCTTGAATTTCTCTGTCAAAAATCTATTGCTGTTTTTCAGTATCACACTATGCATCCAGGACTAGGTGAGAACGTTCACTTTGATCATTCCGTTCAAAGTCATGTGGCGATACTCTGAGACCCAGGTTTTTCCAAAGAGCCTTTGAAAGCACTTTCAAGGCTGCAAAATATATATGATATGGTAAGACTTGAACCATTCATTATTCATTTCTTGCTGTTTCTTTCAAATGGATGCGTGGAAGTTACTTGCTGTTTTCTTACTTTCTATCAGGCTCGTCGATCATGCAGATGCTGGAGATTTAGAAGTTGAAGCACTCTTGAACTTTAGGAAATCTGTACATGATCCTCTACTGTCGCTGAGTAGCTGGAACAGAGGAACAGATGTTTGCCAATGGAATGGTATCAATTGTTCCTCAGCACTGCCAGGCCAGATTTCTAGCATACAGCTCAACGATCTCTCACTTTCAGGACCTCTTCCGATTTTTACAATCCAAGCCCTACCTCAGCTACGCAACTTTTCTGTTTCAGGGAACAACCTCACAGAAATCAACATATCCTCTTCGCAGGAATGCTCTCTGGAGGTTCTTGACTTGTCAAGGAACCATTTCACTGGGGATTTTCTCGACACTCTTACTCTTTCATGCAAAGGCATGAGGATTTTGAACTTCTCATACAACAAGCTACAACACATTTCAGTGAAAAGGTCAATTGGGAATTCAATGGTTTCCGTCGATCTATCCTAATACCTTCTTCTTTCTTCACATCATGCAAGAGCTTGCAGTTTCTAGACGTTTCGAGCAATCAGCTGGTTGGAGAGATCCCTGAAGATATGTTCAAAAACTGCAAAAGTCTACGACAGCTTAACGTTTCATCCAACTTCTTCACAACATTTCGGATTGAGCATTGTACTAGTCTGCAGGAGTTGGACGTCTCGTTTAACAACATTTCTGAAACAGTTTTTTGGAACGATTGTGATGCTTTGAAGGTGCTCAACCTGTCAGATAATCACTTCTCTGGACCATTTCTCTCGGTATTTGCCAATCGAAGTTTACCTCAGGTTTTCAAGTCCCTGAAGGTTCTTCGAGCCGACCACAACAGTTTCACGGGTGAACTCCCTACAGTTCCTCAAACCCTCGAGGCTCTAGACTTGAGCTGCAACATGTTCATCAGTAGCAACACAAACATCTGCCTCCTAAACTCCAGACTCGAGTCTTTGGTGTTGGTATACAACAGATTGCATGGTCCGGTTTTGAGCTTTCACTGTGATAACCTACAAATGCTCGATCTGAGTCTCAACTCCATGACAGGATCACTTCCAGAGGATATATGCAGCAGACTTCCAAAGCTTCAACACCTCATCCTTTGGGGCAACAATCTCGAAGGCAGGATACCACCTACAATCGGCGACTGCAGTGAGTTGGTGACCCTGCATCTCAGTCACAACAATCTCTCCGGTGTTATACCAGAGGAGATATCTCGCTTGAAGAAAATGTACACGCTAGTTCTTAGCAACAACATGCTATCTGGATCAATCCCGGCATCTGTGGTACAGATACCAAGCCTTCGAGGTCTTCTACTTGGGCACAACAAGCTTGAGGGTGGTCTTCCAGTGGAGCTGAAAAACACCAGCAATCTAATCCAGCTTTCACTGAACGACAACCAGATGGCGGGAGAAATTCCAAGCTGGGTCGGCTGCTCAGTTAAAGAGACGCGGTATAATAATGATGTAACATTCCCCTACTTGATGGTGTTGCTGTTCAACATAGAGCCATCCATCTGCAAAGGCTACAACGAGGCCATGTTCATACTCCAGGGGATACGTTTCCATGAGTTTGAGCAACTTCCCATTGCAACCAGATGCCAAACTTGGTTCTACCTAGCACCTCCAGGTTTCAACATTTATTTAACTCCAAATCATACTAGCCACTGGTGCATCGATATCTCATTCAACAGCTTCACAGGAACAATCCCAACAGAATTCTGTGCGACTCAGAATTTGTATTGGCTGAACCTTGCACACAACTTGCTCACAGGGGCTATTCCTTCCACAATGGGCAACCTCAAGAACATTGAGTGGCTAGATCTCTCACAAAACCAGCTCGAATCACAGATCCCGGGCTCGCTTGCCGACCTCACCTTTTTGAAGTACTTCAACATCTCACACAACAGGCTTCTTGGAGGGATTCCACAGGCAGGGCAGCTTCCAGTTTTCCCAGCAAGCAGCTACGAAGGAAATCCGGGGCTGTGTGGCATCCCACTTGCAGAATGTCAACGTGCTGCTCCTGATGACCATAATTTGGATAATCATTCTGGTGGGAAGGATGAAGATGGAAGGATGCTGGCTGGCATTGTTGCTGCTGTTGTTTCATGTGTTTTATGGAGCTGTGCAGTATTCTTCAGCAAGAGTTGGGAAAGATTACTTCAACGGGTCTTGATGTCTTGGTTATATTATTGAGTTAAATTCAAACTGCAGTCAATAAAAGTGAAGATAATGTAGTCTATAAAAGTGAATACAATCTTTCAAGATTTCTAGCATACATACTTGCATTAGCAATGGTCATATGAGTGGTTTAGCAATGAAGAGCTTGTTGCTGATTTGCATTAGTCCCTACTTTTTCATGTCATGTGTTCATGACTTTGTTTCTGTATTATATGTAAGGATATAGATATGCATTAGTTGCATTTTCACTGTTGACACATCCAAAATATAACACAATCTCCGAGGTTCCAGAAAATCTAACTTGTCCAGGCTCAATTTCTTTAGCAATTAACACATATGTCAAAACTTGATTTTTATACTTACCCATCTTTATCTACTGTTCTCTTCTTAGGTTGCTTTAGTGCTAATAGTTAAGATGAAATATAGTATATAGTGTCTTTGCATGAACTACAAAAGATTGAATGATAAGATACTGAAAAATATGTTCTCAATCCCTCATATCAATGATTTGGTGTATTGTGGTGCTTGCTACTTTTCAAGGATTGATTTAAGATTAATGATATCATCAAATTAATATTAAGCTAGAAAGACAGTATTTCAAACAAGGACAAGTCACTATAAATTATTGGTGATGCCATTTGGTTTGACAAATATGCTTGCAACTTTTCAAAGGTTTAATGAATTAAGTTTTGCAACCTTACTTGGGGAATTTTGTGATTGATTATTTTGATTGTAGCGCACCTTATCTTTCTCCCCTTAAACCAACTGAAAAAGGGGCAATTGCTTGATGAGAGAGCCTTTAGTGACTATTTTATCTCTATTTATCCCCCAAAGTTCCAAGGATCCACGGTGACAGTATATCTAAATCTCATCCCATGATCACATGCACTACACTCATCCCCCCTTTAGAGATGTCAATGTCTTCATTGACTATTGACTAACAATCTTTACTGAGCCAAGGGGAACCAACACCTCCATTTCCGCATTGAATTTACTAATCCTTCCATTGTATAGATTAACTATTCCATGTGAAGCAATTAATCATCACCCGTATTGCAGTCCCATGGTGGATATTTTTGTCCGTGGATACTCCACACAAAAGGAAGGACGTACGCATGGATGCCCAATATGTACGATTTCAAATTTAGAGGTAGGAATATACCTTGCTCAAGGGTATATTATATTTTTTAAATAACCACTAATCAATGGGAATCAAACCCGTGCCATTTGCTTCGATACCATATGTAACGCACTTTATTTCTCTACTGGAAAAAGGGCAATTGCTTGATGAGAAAACTCTTAATAGCTATTTTATCCCCATTTATCCCCCAAGGTTTCAAAGATCTACGGTGACAATATATCTAAATCTTATTCCATGATCATATGCGTTATATTGATGATATCTTGGTATTTAGTGTTACCTTAGAAAAGCATGAAATGCATGTGAAACAAAGTGTTGGAATTCTTGAAAGACAACAAGAAATTGAATATCTTAAGCATTTGATTTTAGTGCATGGATTGAGAGTTGATCTAGCAAAGATCAAGGTTGTGGTTAAGTAGTATATATCACCTACTCCCTTAGCTGATCTTCTCCAAAACACATTGAAGCATACTATTATATATAATTGGGATGCAAAATGTCAAATGGCATTTATACAGTGGAAATAGTATTGTGTTTCTGCTTCAGTGTGGGCATCTTCTTGACACAACAAAATTAGCTGACTTGTGACAAGGAGTTATATGATATAGTTAATGCTATGAAGAAATGATGACATTATTTATATGGATTGGAGTTCTATATAGATTCAGACTATTAGTCTCTCCAATATTTTATTTATCAAACAAATCTTCAAGGCCACTTTGCATGTTGGTAAGAGTTCTTGTAGGAAATGTTAGTTAAGATCCAATATCGATGAGGGGTGACAATAAGGTGGTTGATGCATTACCTAGGATAGTGAATTATATCTCGTTTGTGAAATTATATAGTGATCTTTTGGATGAGCTTAAGGAGTTTGTTGACTTCAAATCCTTTATCATTAATATGCACATGAAGATTTGAAGAGGGATGCTTCTATTGTTGTGAAGGGGGACAATTTTATGTCATTTGAGATACAAGATGGAATCTTGGTGAAGAAGGGTTATATAGTGGTTCCTTATGTTGATAAGCTCATCAAAAGGATTTTGGTGGAGTGTCATGATATGCCAAATGTTGGGCATCCAAAGGTATTAAGGGTGCATATGTTGGTAAAAACACATTTGTTTTGGCTTGGGATGAAGTTAGATGTAGAAAAGTATATATACAATTGTTTGACCTACTAGGTAATTAAATCTGATCATTAGAAGCTCATTGACCTTTACCATCCTCTACGTATACTTGAGCATAAGTGGGATAGCATCTCGATGAACTTTATCACTAATTTGCCCAAAACCTTTCAAGAAAATGATATTATTTGGGTTGATATGAATTGTTTGATGAAGATTGGCTCACTTTTTCCCCATGAAGACAAGTCTTAAAGCTTTTGATCTTCCTTAGTTATTTGTAAACTAATTATTTAGTCTGTATGGTTTGCTAGGTGATATTATAAGTGATTGGGATCTCAAATTCATGTCAAAGTTTTAGCAAATAGTATTTGAAAAATTAGAGACTAAGTTGAACATGAGTAGAGGTGAGCATCCACAATTTGATAGATAAACAAAGGGCATAAATCAATTGTTGGAAGATATGCTATGATCATTTATGGGAAACTTGATTAAGCAAGATGTATGGGAGAAGTATTTACCTTTGCTTCAATTTGCTCACAATAGACTAAATAATTGGCTATTGACATATCTTTATTTATGGTGATATATAGCTGCAAGCCAAGGTCTCTTGTGGGTTTGAGTTTAGCTTTAGTTCAAGTGCTTTTTGCTTGTGATTTCCTAGAGGATATACAAGACAAACTTAAGTTGGCAAAGTTGAATATAAGGCAAACTCAAGATCGAGACAAGAGATTAACTGATAAGCATTATCATCATTAGGAATAAAAAGTTGGTGATAAGGTTTTCCTTAAGTTGTCTAATATGCTCAGGTCTCTCAAAGGAGGTAGTAATATTAAGTTGTCTTTGTAGTATTATAGGCTTTGTGCAATTTTGCAATGTGTGGGAGATCTTCCTTACATTTTAGACTTGCTAGCTAGCTCTAAAATTCATTCGAAGTTCCATGTGAGCAAGTTAAAAACATGTTTATACTTTAGCAATATCTTGGATTAGCTCATCATCCAGGTTCTAGAGATTGATGCTGAGAAAAGCTAGTCTAGCATATATTCTTGTTCAAAGGTTGGTGAAAATATGCTATAAAACGACTCAGGAATTGTCAATTCAATAGAATGGCTATTCTAGTGATGAAACTACATAGGAAACTAAAGATGAGATGAAAAGAATATTTCCAAGTTTTGACTATGATTTGGACAATATTCCTAAGGAAGGGGAGAAGTAATTTTTATACCATATAAGTCATTTTACTCTTGTTATTTCTCTTGTTTTTATGACTGTATCATCATACTTGCCATTTCCCTCTATATTTACTGGAGGTATATTTGGCCGTATTTGCTTCTTATAGGATTCAAACCCTGGACCTATAGTGACAAGATTCGAACCCAAGATTTACCATGCATGTGCATACATACATGGGCATCCAAGATTGGTATGGACCCATGCCTAAATTAGTTTCCTGGATTAGCTCAAGAATTGATCAGATTAGTTTCCAAGGACTCTATAAAAGTAGAGTTTTTAGGACTTTGTATTTAGAGTGTTCAACATAAACTTTTTTTCCTTAATCTTTTCCTTTGTATTTGTCTTTTGATTTTGTCTTTTTCCTTATCATCTCTTTCTCTCACTGACGAGTTCCTAACAGTTTGAACACTCTGATATCCATGGCTTCCTCTTGTTCAGCTTCAATCATATCTTAATATTCTACAGAAGTCATATCAAATGTTAGAACAATCCAACACTACTCTTCAGTCATAACTCTAGCAAGTTCTTCAACACCAACAATGGCTCCCTTCCTTAGAATTGAAGATTGGTATGCCAACAAAAATTGATGGTATATGATCTAAGTTTCATGGATTTCTCAACCAAGTGAAGCTTCGAATCGTTATGTAGCTTGCTTGCTATTTCATTGCAACTTCTTGTGTAGGATTGATCAGATCTCTTCTCACTGGAACTCCTCTTTCTTGGTTCTCCGCTCTTTTTAAGAAGAATAATCCTGTCCTCCAAGATTTTGATCTTTTTATTCAATGCTTCATTAGTATGTTCAGCGATACTGATTGAGAGTACATCACCATCAACAATTTACAGCAATTATGCCAAGGCTCTAAGTCTACATCCACCTATGCTTCTGAGTTCTAGATGGTTGCCACTGACATCTTGTGGGATGATGCAACTCTCAAAGAACACTTTCGGCTTGGTTTGTGTGATGATATGAAAGATTTGATGCTTTCTCATCCAGATCCTACATCTCTCATGATGGGCATCAATCTTGCTGTTTGGTGTGATAATTGACTTCAAGAATGTCGGCTGGAACGACATCCAAATTTTGTTTCATGTGCAGCACCCCTGGTTTTTGAGAACCCCGTACATGAGCTAGGTGCAGTTCCAATGGAGATTGGAGCTACCCGACGGTGACGTCTTTCTCATGCTAAGAGACAACATTGGATTGAGAACCACTTATGTATGTATTATGGAGATGTAGATCACATCCGGCAACAGTGTCCTCATCTTCCATCAAGATCACAAGCACAAAGACCCCAGGATTTTCTCCGTTCTCTACACTAGCATCTCCCTCTAACATTATAACTGAGTCTGTGTTTAGGAAGTTCTTCCCATCCAACTTTGAGTCCTTTCTAAACATACATTGATTTCATTGCGCAACAAAATACTATCCCACGTTTGGAAGCTCAGGGAGTTTTGATGTTCAAAAGAGGGAACTGGCTGCCTACTTTGCAAATGTGAAGCAGGAAACTGGAAGTAAATTCACATAGCATTTATCCATTAATCTCATACTACGGAAGAGGACATTTGCAGCTCACCTGGTAAGTTGGAAATGTTATATTCAAAATTTAAAGAGTATATATATACAGGAATTACAATTACGATGCTTCTGGAAAGGCTTTCAACATGAACCTCCTCCAAAATCTAGACCAGGTTGCTCAGAATGGCGTCCTTTAGTGGAGGTCATCAATGTGGTTTTGGATGCAAAATTCGAATTGCCACACCGCAATAACATAGAACCAAGGATTTGGAGCTACAATTCGAGCCATCAATGGAGGTCAGGATTGTGGCAAGGGCAGTGAGACACATGCACAGAACCATATCAATTATTACAAGGACTTTGCTCACAGTTGGGTGTTTCATCAGGCTGTGCTTAAACAAATGTTTTTAAAAGTTATTATTAATCAACTAATTAGTAATTAATTATAAGTTATGATGATGCTTTTCAACCTAAAGCTTCAAGTTTCCCTGCTAGAACATGAAGGACAAGAAGACTTAGCGAGAGAGGGGGATAGAGCATGTATACCAAGGTGTGGCAATAAAGAGACTTATTTGGAGATCATCTTTGAGTTTTAAGACAACAATCATATCATTTCTGCAGCTCTAGAAACGATCAGCGACATCAAGTGCTCACTCAACAGTTGATTATCATGGAGTTCTTGTCAATTGCGGCAGTTCTAGTGATTGCTGAGTTATTTGCTCCAGGCTTGGGTTTCCAGTGTCCAAAAGCCATGTTCTGGTTTGGGGATTCTATTGTCGATACAGAGAATGTTCAAGCAGCAGCTCCGTTTATTAGTGCCGCAGAGTATAAGCCTTATGGCATGACTTTCTTCAGTAAGCCATCAAAGAGATACTCAGATGGTCGTGTGGTTGTCGACTTTTTTGGTAATTGTGTGTGTTGATTAAACAGCATTTGATGTTATTTGTGAATGTTTTTGCAGCGGAGGCTTTTGAGTATGATAGATTCCTGGATAACATTTTGCAAAGTATTAACTTGAATTATGCCAATGGGGTGAATTTTGCGGTCTCTGGAGCAACTGCTTTGAACACCAGCCTCGAAGTTCCACTGTACCTTCCAGTTCAGATTGACCAGTTTCTGAGGTTCAAGCAAGATGCTTACTACAGCAGACATGGTAAAGGTAATGATTCTTCTCAGACTTTGCAAAGGTAGTGTCATTCATGGATTCTTCTGTAGGGATGTAAAAGCTAGTTCCTTATTATCATCATCTAAAGACTGCTCTGTATGTGGTTGTCATAAGTATTAATGACCTCAATTCCTACTTGTTGGAGCAAAGAAGCCCTGAGAATGTAACAGTTGAGGTTGTTCCATATGTTGTGAGAGCCATACCAACCTGATGCATAGTTTAGCTCCCGCTTGCATTCATGTATTTGTTCTGTGTCCAACTTAGGTCTAAGCTCAAGTTCCACACTATATTAGTTGGTGGAGTACTTATATCCTTGCGTTAAGCTACCAATATGTTGAAATAGTGCCAAACTTCATTTGACTCCATTTTACGATTCTTGAGCGTATAGTCTAAGGAACGAAGGGACAAAAGCTCAGAGCGACTTAGAATAATTTTAGAGCATTTAGTATTCTAATGCCAAAACTAACACACTTCGTGCTTCAATTATTTCGCTCATTAACTCCATATTTAGGAGTTTGGCTCCATTCCTTTGTTCAATGGCCCAAAACCCTGAAACTTGGGTTCTGCTCCATTATCCTTAGACATGTGACATATGACATGTGATTCTATGGTAAATCACTATAGGATAAAAGGTGAAACCATATGTGTTACAACTTTATTATTGCCTCTATACTTATATTAGATTTTAGCACACATTTCCTACAAGAACTTCTGCCAATGAGTAAGGTGGCCTTGAAGGTCCTTTTAATGATTGAAATACTGAAGAGACTGATGGTTTGAATCCACAATAATTGTTATACTGATAAATGTAGAATTAATATAAATAAAAAACTGTGTTGAATATTTAGTAGTTTTTAAACCTTTTCACTATTTTAGTGGAAGTCTAATCTATATAAATAATGTTGCCATTCCTTCACAACATACAACTCCTTATCTCAAGTAGGCCAATTCCATTGTATAATATCAAACTTTGTGGCTCATGACTGTGAAAGAATGCCTAACTTGAAGCAACAGAACCCTAATAACAATATCACTCATATTATTGCTTATCATTATTTATTAATCACTTTAGCATTTGTTAACCCATTTAGAATAATCCTTACTTTGATGTTGAGCCTTGTGGCAATGAAAACAATTGCCCTTTACCTTGTCCATTTCTCCGTGGTCTAAATGAAATTTCTTAGCCTTATTGCCATCTCCATATTTTGAGCCATGCAATGGGTATTTCTTCCCTGAATATGAAACATTGGTAGGCTGGTCATCACATTGACTACCCCATAGACCATCCCATTGACCTGAGTTGACTAATGGTTTTGGAGAAAAGATCTAAACCTTAATAATAGCATCAGTCAATGTTTTTAGAAAATCCTTCTTGACATTTTGGTGCACATCCATTGAGCTCAAACTTTTGATAAAACATTGCACCTTTAACAATTCATTAAAGGTACTTATAAAACTAAGGCAAAGATCATAGAATTGATAGGCATATGCATCCAAAGATAAAGTCCTTTGCCTGATCTCTAGTAGCTGGTTTATGAGATCAACATCTTTAAACTTCTTGACAAATGAAGCGTAAAAAATCTTTTTCAAATCACTTTAAGAAGTTCACTTAGAATTAACTTTGATGTAATTCTTCCACCACAAAGAAGCATGGCCTGTCAGCTTTGTCATAAAAATAAATAAATTTTCACCTTATCCTCACAAGGATTGTGAGACCAACAACTTTCCCACAATGTCAACCAAGAATCAACTTTTTATCTATCACAAATATTTGGTGATAACTTCCATTCCACAATACTATAATTCTTGACATGTTTAATGTACCAATGGTAATCACGAATATGAGATTGATTCAACCCTTCAAGGTTCATATGAAATAAGAAATCTTTAATGAAATTAATGGAATCCTTAACCTTCTTAATGACGTTCTGAACCTCAATAATCTAGTGACTATACTATACTACAACACCATCAAGAGTTTTTTCCTCATCATCATGATTGTCATCACTAACACCATACACTTCATCAAGATCTATATCCCACTCATTTGCCATCCCCAAAAAAACATGTTATTCCAATACCTATAAAATTAACAAGGAGTAAACCCTAGGCCAATCTCCCAACCCTTAATGCATTACAGCCTTAAAGCCATAAAATATTCTTAGAATATTCCTGTGATTTGTTCTGGCAGATTGTAAATGTAATTGCTCTTAGGGGATTGGATCAGCCTCTGCAGAAACGTCCCATTGAGTAGGTACGGACAGTAAACATAAACCTGTTGGTAACCAATTTGCTATATGCTCTAAAAATATAATACTTATATAGTGAATATTCCATTATCAATCTGTACATACCAAAGTTACCATCAGATTTGAGCTTGCTGTTGCCCACAGATGTCCAAATACTCTCATCTGTTCATTCGAGGCTCCAATCACCTGGGAGAGCAGAGCAAGGACAATGAATGCACAGGCAAACCTTGAGCCCCCTAGCACTAAATTTTGATCCCAAGAGTGAAGAAACAGCACTTTCGTTGCCAGAACCATACTCATACAATGCTGAAGCAATCTGACAGGTCGAAAATAACGAACACAACTTAGAGCACACAAGCACAAACTAAATCAGCATTGATTACTGAGCTATCGTTTGGTGAATCTCCTCTGTAGAACCGATCGTTTATGCTCTGATGAGAATCAGAGTGAGGTCACTTTGACAACATTTCTCACCGTTGATTCAAATATGAGAGTAATTGTTTGGCCTCTGCAATAAAGAGCTTCGAACCAGTGACCAAAGGACCAGAAAATCATGTGGACTAAACACAAAAAGTAAGGAAAATATAAGTTCAAAAATCGCCGCCAGCCCACGTACCTTGTCCACAAAGAGCTTCATGATGTGATCTCCAAATCTGTTTACTTGAAGACATAGCAAAAATTCCAACGCATTTAAGCTCACCTGCACATTATTGATTACTTAGTGTTGGATTTTTCTGTTAAGAGAGCTTACCGCAAATGTATCCCTTTCAGCTCTTTCGTGGTCTCCCCATATACGGGTGTCAAATATGCGTAGCACGTTCTCAGCTGGACCACCCTCTAGATGACAAAGCTCTAAATGCCACCAGTTATGACTATGCCTGCAAGAGAAAAAACAGAAACCAGAAGTGAGTTTGTATCACATCTATTTGAAAGAAGATCTTCTCAATCGTTAGATTCCAATGGAAACATTCAGCCCTTCATCCTCCAATCTAAAGCAGATTCCTTGGAATGCAATCCTTCCTTTAAGGTGCGATGTTCCACGAGGCATAGCGCTACAAGTGAGTCATTCCATCTCAAGCATTGCCTTGTGGACGTTCTCACCAAGTCTGGAGGGCTGGAGGAGGCCGAGGAGCTCATGCATAGCATGCCAGGTCCAGCTCCCTAGCATCCGAGAGAATAAGAAACCAGGCCACCTGTTGCTCGGACAAGCAATCTCCCAAACCCTTGGCTTTGACCAGTTTTGCCCTCCTTGGTCTTCTGCAAGAAGCGTATGAATCACTGACAATCCCGTAATTGTGTGGAGGTCTTCATTCTCCCAGTTAACCCTCCCAGAGTGCTTCCATGACGAGTTGCCTAGCTCCACCATTGCCTATGGCTTGAAAAGGAGATTCAATAAGCAAGCTTCGGACTGGATAGAAAGAAATCCATGCACAAGTCCAATGGTGCAGTCTCTACGAAATAACACAAAACAAGGTTTTTTCAACACAAAGAGCCTCTTGTAACGTGTGAAAGAAAAGCAGAGCAAGAACAACAGATTTCACTTCAACACCCACATTGATTCATGTATGGCTGTATATATATATACAACTTCAATCAAATCAGAAATCACTAGAGATCTAATCAAGATTTGGACTGCTTTTGATATGAATCGTCTTGCTTGTCATGTTCATCATTATTCCTACACTCCGCCTTCAAGCTGAGGGCACTTGACACTCCAAGTTGATTCCTTAGCTTGATGAATGTGAGCTTTGAAAGTGGCTTGGTTAGAAGGTCTGCCAATTGATACTGTGAAGGAACATATTCCAGGTGAAGATCTCCAGCTGCTACACATTCGCGAATGAAGTGATGCTTCATGTCTATATGTTTCGTACAAGCATGAAACATAGGATTCTTTGACATGGCAATTGCACCTCTGCTGTCGCAATGCAGAATGGTCACATCTGATTGCTGTTGATTGAGTTCTCCAAGAGATTGATGAAGCCAGATGATCTCCCTTGCTGCTGTACTGGTAACTACGTACTCTGCTTCTGCACTGGAAAGAGCAACCATCATTTGCTTCTTGCTTCCCTGTGAAACTGGAGCACCAGCAATTGTGCAGCAAATTCTGGAGGTTGAATGTTGTGTATCCAAGCCCAATCTGCATCACAGTAAGCTTGAAGAACAAGTTTGGACTGATTTGAGCATTTGTAAACCAATCCATGAGCAACTATTCCTTTCAAATACCTCAAAACTCTCTTTGCCATCTGCCAATGATAACAACTCGGAGACTGCATGTATCAGTTGAGGAGACCAACAGCAAAGGAGATGTCGGGGCGAGTCATGTTGGCGAGGTAGAGTAGTCCTCCAACAAGTGATCAGTAGACCGAGGGCTGATCAAATAAATCATCCATCTTGCTTATGAACTTGATGCCAGTGATGACTGGTGTAGCCACGGATTTGCAATTTGTCATGTTGAACTGGTTGAGAAGCTTCTTCACATATTGGTGCTGTGTGAGGGTGATTGTTCTGTCTGCTTCATCCCTAACAGCTGTTGTACAGCTCCTAAGTCCTTCATCACAAACCTATCCATGAGCTTGACCTTCACATCCTTCAAAATAGTGTCATTATTGCTGACAATCAAACCATTGTCCACATAAACTGCCATCACAACAAAGTGATCACCCTGCTAAAGAAGATATAGATTTCCATTACTGTTCAACCTTTATATACCAAGACCCATAAGAAAAGAATCCAAACATTCATACCACTGACAGGAAACCTGCTTAAGGCCATAAAGAGCCTTGTGAAGCTTGCAAACGAGTTTGAAGCGCTGTGATCCAAAAAGCTCAAAGCCTGGGGGTTGCCACATAAATATCTCCTCCTTCAAGTTTCCATTAAGGAAGGCTGTTTTTACATCTATGTGATGTGCGCGCAAACCAAACTCCGCTAAAGCGTTCTGATACTTGTCTGCTTCACAATTGGTGAGAACATCTCATCAAAATCCACTCCAGGAACTTGTGAATATCCTTGAGCAACATGTCTTGCCTTGTAATGCTGAACTATCCATCAAGATTTCTGTGAAGCTTGAACACCCAGTATAGTCTGACAACTTCACATCCTTTAGGAGCTTCCACCAAGTCATAAGTCTAGTTCTCATCAAGAGAATTCAACTCATCTTGCATTGCTGAAATCCACTTATTTGCATCAGGAGTTTGAATCGCCTGCTCAAAGTTGATTGGTTCATAAGCTATTTCTGTTGCTGCAAAAGACCACTGCTTGGGATGAGGTGCTTTCCTTGATCGTCCAGATGATGGCCGCCCATAGTTCTCCATGTTGAATGGTAGATCACGTGTGATTCTGTTGACTTCTCCAATTCGTGCACGATGAGCAGCATTGCCCTGTTCTTCAGGAAGAACAGATCTAGAGACTGGTGTTGGATGGTCGTCTACTGAAGGAGATGAGGGATAGATGATTGTCAGATCATCGTCATCTTCATCAACGTCTTCAACACCATCCCAACTCCATTCTTCTGGAGTCCAGTTTGTGTTTTGATCTGAGCTTCCTTCTTCTTGAACGTGATCTTTGTAGAGTGTTCCTTCATTAAAACGAACGTCAGTGCTTACAAAAACGATGATGATGATGATGATGATTACCAGGCTGGTATAGGTGATATCCTTTTGAATTGAAGTCATATCCAACAAGAAAGGCCAGCTTGCTTCTGCTATGAATTGCTTGAATTTGCTGAAGACTTCATCTTTGTGATGAAGAAAGAAGACGTCTGTGTGCCTCGAGAAATCATTTGTAAATGTCACAAAATACTTCAAGCAAACAGTCACATGGGTCCACAAACATCTGAGTGAACAAGCTGCAAGGGACAAGTGCTTCTAATCACAGCAGGTTTGAAAGTACGATGGGTTTACTTGCCAAGAACGCAAGTGTGACATTTTGCTGAACTTTGAAGAACGTGGTTGTTGAAGCCATCCACAAGCTCCTGCTTCTGCATACACCTGATGAGAGGGGGATTGGCATGTGCAAGTCGAGCATGCCAAAGAGAACTATCTGCAGTCATGCATATCTCAAGAGCGTTTGATTTTTCTCCAGAAGCTATCTCCTTCTCAAATAGGTTACCACATCTGGAAAATGCATGGACGACCATTTGCAAGAACTTGACATTGATGTTTGGAGAAATTCACATCCAGACCTTCATCCGTAAGCCTGGCTACAGAAACCAGATTCTTCACTATCTTTGGAACATACCATGCATTCTTCAAGAGCAGAGACTTTCTTCCCAGTGGAACTCACACATCCCCAGTTGCGCGAACAGGTAAAATGCTTCCATCTCCCACATGAATGCACTTCCCTTTTGCAGCATGCAACTGCACAAAGTTCGACCGGCTTTGCATCAGTGAATCGATGGTCAATTTTTCAGAAACATTTGGAACTGCTACCTTAGATGATGCCACAAGTTCATGTGTTTCCCCTTCCTAAGCATTTGCTGCAAGCCCTATGTTCATGCACTGCAGCCAAGTTGCAACTGGGCAATCCTTGGAGTAGTGTCCTGGCATCCCACAGGTCCAGCATTCCTGTTTGTTCTTGCCCACAAAACAATCTCGAACTGCTGCTTCTTTACCAGAATTCCATGAATTCTGCTGCTGCTGCAGATTTCCCCTAAACCCACAACCTCTGCCTCATCCTCCTCTTCCGTGGCCTCCTCTGCCTTGATGATTTCCAGCCCACAGAGCTAAATCAGTCCCCGACTGATTGCTTGATGCAGAAACATTTGATGTAAACTGTGACATCAAAACATGGAAAGGCTTCTGATCAAAGTCCACAATCAAACCTCTCACAGCCAGCTCCAAGCGTAAAGTTTGATCAGCTTGTTCAAAGTTGAGCGACATCATGCGAATGGTAGGGATGAAAGAACTAAAAGAAGAATCTTGCATGGCCTCGCAAAGCGCTAGAACTTTCTTGCTTTTGTTGAACGCCGCCAGACTGCCTTCAAGCTCCATCCACAAATCTTGCATCTTGGCGAGGAACTCTTCAAAGTTCTCACCTGGATGAAAACGGGTCTCACGAATGCAAGTCTCGACCATGCTGATCTTGGAGAGGGAAAGAACAGCATACTTGTTGTGAAGATGAGCCCAGATCTCACAAGCACTCTTATGATGCAAACGCATCATAAGGGCATCTGCAAGGTTAGAAAGAATCAATCCTTTTGCTCGAGATTCCTTCTTTTCCAGCGCAGCTTGTTCCCCAAGATCAAGCTGTTGTCGAGCTGCTGCAACAGAGGCACGAATTGCCTCTCTTCATCCACAACTTCTCCTTCCACTGAAGTTGAAGCTCCCAACGCAGCAGGGGCTCACCACGTATGAGCATCTGCAGCAATTGTCAGTGGTGAAACGATTTCTTCTTCCATCTGCAGCACGCGCATCATTTTCTCAGACTAGGTGTTGAACCCTCTCCTCCCATTAAAGGCAGTGACTCCCTAAAGCAAGATCAATCCAACTTTGCTGCAGCTCATGATGTGAGGCACAAAGAAAGGAGAAGAAAGAATTCAGAAACTGAGCTCTGATACCTACAGAGCAGAAGAAGTCCACAAGAAAATGAAACAAGAACCTGAAGTGTGTCTGGAAGACATCTGGAACGAGTTTCTCTTCCCACTTGGTAGGCAAGTATCTGGACAAGACAAACCACAACCTGCTTGAATCAAAACAGAGCAAACTCCAAACCAAGATGGCAACTGACAAGAAGTTCATTCCCGCGTTTGCTTCCCACAGGGCAGTCACAACAAGCTAAGCTGCTTGACATCACAGCACTCCAAGAAAACGATTACAAGCTCGATCACTCACCTGAGCTGGCAGAGCGTCCTGGAGTGACACACTGCGTTGCCGCTTCCCTACAACCCGAATCAAGCTCTCGCGGCCCTGGAGCATTGTAATGCCGCCTTAGCGGACCGGCCGCTTCCTCCTCGCCCTCCCAATAGACCTCAACCGTACTCACACAGAAAAAAACCATTTCATAGAACTTTTCATCTGCAAACACGACATCCTTGTAGATAACTTATTCATCTTTAGCTAGTAGCTCATCTAAGCTCGAAGAATCTGAACGGCGCGGAAGAAAAACCTGTGATCGGTGGAAGAAGCGGTCGTCAGCTGCATTCTTGCCTCCAACACAATGATCCGGCCATGTCGTTCCATAGGTGCACAAAGTAGTGGCGCCGGGGCAATCCAGTCGCCACTTCCCAGGAAAGATCTTGGGCTGCGAAAACAAGCGTCTGTCCGGCACCACCGGGCGAGCTCAGGATCACCTGGTTGTAAAAGATTTCGTTTCCTGCGGTGGAGAACGCAGCATTGGTGCTGCGAAGCTCCATTGATTCTTGCGTGCATCGAAGACGCTCACCGATTTGCAAGGAGATAGAGCTTGGGACCCAGAGCCCTGCACTCGAATCCTCCCGTGTTGGGCTCATCCTGGCGAGCAAGTCACATTCTGCTATCACATATGCCCACTTTGGGCATCATGACGAGGCAAAGGTGGTGACCTGGACGACAATAGTGAGCACATATGCCCCGATTGACGAGGCAAAGACTTTGTCATGCCGCAACGAGCTCTTCGGGCTTGGCTCGGGCCGAGACATGCATCACGCCAGCCAAATCTTCTTTGGGATGCCTCAGTGCGATGATGGTTAGTCTCTACATGTTCTCCCAACGGACTCCATGCCCACAATGGGGATATGGAGCAAGCAACTGCATTGTTCGATAGGATACTCATCAAGGATGACAGAGTCGCGGGGGATGTTCTTTAAGGTGCATGGAATCCCTCGTGATTCATCTCTTTGGAACTCGCATTTCCTGATCCTCCACCGAGAGGATCTTTAAGATGACGGTGGAGGCCGAGTGGTGATTCTATCACCTCGCGGTCCCGATCGAAGAGCTCTTGAGACGGTGACACTGAGGACTTGGCACTGGCTGTGTGTAGCGCGCAATGGATTCTTGGCAGTCCACAGCGGGTGCTTACCGGTTCTTATGACTTCAAGCAAGGCGGAGCAAGTTGCAGAGGCCTGCGCAGCCGTCTCGGGCCCGGCACTACTCATCTAGGATCGATCATTCATCGTCTTGGAGACCTTGCAAAGTTCCACTGGAACATTAGCGTCCGAGAGAATCAGAAACCAGGCCACCTGTTGCTCGGACAAGCGATCCCCTGGACCCTTGACTTCGGCCAGCCTCGCCTCTTTCTCCTTCCACAGCAGAAGATCAGGCATTCCAGCCGTCCAGTTACTGTGGTCTTCTGCAAGAAGCTTGCAAATCACCGACAATCCTGGACCTCCGATACAGACCGTTATTGTTTGAAGGTCTTCAAGCGAGTACTTCTCCCAGTTTACCCCGCTACATGATGTCCCGTAGTGCTCTGCCCAAGTCTCAGCCACGAGTTGCCTAGCTCCGCCATCGCGTATGGCTTGAAGACGAGATTCAATAAGCGAGCTTCGGACTGGATAGAATGAATCCGTGCACAAGTCCAATGGTGCAGTCTGCAAACAAGAACTGTAGAGCAACCACGAGAAAATGAAACAAGAACCTGAAAAGGTGTCTGGAAGACATCTGGAACGTCTGAAAAGATAACATCCCACATGAGCAGCCCGAACAATGTCAGCCATATGCCACTTTCTGAATGGACTCCTTTCCAGCCGCCTCCATCTTCTCCGGCATAGTATTGAAGTGCCAGGTCCTCCACACTGCATTGTTGCCCATCGTAGCCATAAAATCTGCTCTTCATTCCATTGGCATTGTTTAGCGGCCTTCCCATAATCGTCACCTTCAGAAACAGAGTTGTAGCTGAAGGCCAAATATCTGGAAGACACAGTACGTACCACCTTTTGTTTTTTCTTTAAAAGCGCTGCATATGGAGGTACTTTCCACCTTCTAGGAGGTTTTCCTAGTCGGAGAACCCTCCGTTGCAAAGCAATACGATCCCCTCCTCGGACGCTGAAATCATTTAATCCGTTTTCTGCAACGAGCAGGCTCTCTTCTAAACGCTGTAAGTGCTCCAAGTCAATAGATAGCCGGAGAGTCCAGTATCCTCTCCGTCCAGGACAATACTGCATGCTAAGGAGCTGCTTGAAGAGGTTTATAGCTTCAGCATATCTGGTCAAGAGCCAGTTTTAGTTCAAAAGTATTGTTCGCCATTGGTGAAAGAGCGTACCTGCGTTCTTTCTCCAGAAACGATGCAGCCACAGTACAGATTGTTGCATACACCCATGCAGCCGAAAATCGTGCTAAAAATGGATGCTTGATCTCGGTGTGTGCATTGATCAATTCGAGAGTAGTCCTTGCTTTTCGAAAAGAGGAGTTTACAGCCTCAGAATTACCAGCTTCCAGAGACATGTCAACCACCTGAGCCAATTGCAATGCCTGAAAACTCGACGGTCAGACAAATTTTATAACAAAGTAGGAACGGACCTGCTCATACGCCAGAAAGTCCTCTCGAGAAGCAAAGACTGGCATTGTTCTAGCGCACCTATAGCTTGGATACTTGATCCTTCCAATATCCACAAGAAGAAAAACATGGAACTCCTGCTCACCGTTTAGAAAGAACAGCCTCTGAATAAATAAATAAATAAATAAATAAATTGCTCAGCACCAGCAGTGTAACACTTTGGAGAGGATGTCAACTGACCTGTAAACGCCAAAGTAGAACTTCAAGTGTTTCGGCTATTCGAATGCATGGGCCGGTTGCTTCACGAATTAAAGCCGTTAGATTACTGCCGCCAAGTATTTCACGCTTGTATAAAAAACCAATGATCACTTGCTACTTACAAATGCAGCGAAATTAATGCATCTCGAATTGCTGTAATAAGCTGAATCTTTTTCAAACTTAGCGTAGCACTTTTGATCTGTAAGCAGGAACAGAAATGAAAACAAGGAAGAAAGTCTTAGAAGTAACTACCATGATTTTGCTGTTCACTGCCAAATCTTTGAGCTCTTGTACAGTCAGATGTTCAAGCAACTCCGACGAATTGACGTCCGCGTTGAAAACTAAGTAGCGTCTCTCTGTTACAAGGGAGCAAACATATTATGAAGTACACGATGAAAGAAATTGAGTACCGACTAACTCATGGACTGCAGAATTTGTGTCACCAATATCTTCATAGAAAATGTTCTGAAGACGGAACCATGGCCCTGCAAAACCACAGTCTCCCTTGAGTCACAGTTTGTGCGACGGTGTTTAGCTTACCCTTTCGTTGAGCCAATCTTACAAAAAGGCGCTGTCCATCAGACGAGATTGAACGAAATGCCTCGAGAAGTTCGATCTCGTCTGGAGTAAAGAGATGGAGATCCCGTTCCAATACCACTTGGAGCATGTAGAGAAAATTCTGTTGGTATCGACAGCCGTGGTCTTGTCCCTTGTCAGCTGCATCCATCAGACGGCTCCATTTGACAGCCAGCACTTTTTCTTCTGAGAGACTTCCAATAGTCCGACTCTGGATCTCACGCAAATCAAGCTTGAGGCGTGCAGCTTCCGATGTACTCTCGGAGACATATCCCTGAAAGCTTTGTGAACAATTGAAAAACGCCCCAGAGATTAGTTACCTGAACGTCTACCACGCCTTTGTCCATGAGAGGAGACAAATAACGCGAAAGCTCTTTTGGAATATGTCCCAGCGAAAGCCCATCCGCCGTAAGCACCTGGCGCAATGTTGTTGTCAGCCATGAAACACGTCCATTCAGTCAAGCTTACCTTCACAGCGTATGTATCCATGGGATTTTCTGGTTCCCTTACCAGGTGAACTCGCATCCCAGCTTGGCACTCGACGTCTCTGTGGTACTTGCGGCCAGCAATCCTTGCCTCCAGGCAGCCATTGTAAAGATCTCTAGTTTCACTGTTGAGCTCTGCCGGAAGGACGCTGTTGGCCACGTCGGGCTCCTCAAAGCATTCAAGAGTAGAAGAAACTTCCGGTTCCGGAGACCCTGCCGCCGTGTTACAGTCGACCCCAGTCTCGAGCGGAGGAGACTGCTGGATTTCTAGTACGCAGTTTCCGCTTTCCTCATACTCTACCTTTTTCGACAAGTTGAAGTGAAAGAGTGTATGCTGGACACTGTTCTTCTTTTTCTTCCCACGTTGCAGGCAAGTATCTGGACAAGAGACACCATCGATCAGCGTGCTTGAATCAAAACAGAGCAAAATCCAAACCAAGATGGCAGTTGACGAGAAGTTCATTCCCGCGTATTTGCTTCCCACACACAGGGCATTCCACCCAGTCACAACAAGCTAAGCTCAGGCCTCCTTTTATTTCCAGCGAAACATCACCGCACTCCAACTCTTCCTGCAGGAAAACGATCACAGATCCACCCAAGAAATAGAAGCTCGATCACTCACCCGAGCCGGGAGTGACACATTGCGCTGCCGCTTCCCAACAAGCCGAATCAAGCTCTCACGGCCCCGGAGCATTGCTGAGATTACCGCATGGCACACCGCCGAGCTGTGTGTAGGACGCTTCCTCTTCGCAGACCTAAACCCTAGCCAAATAAAATATTTCCCTCCATTCCTTTGAATTCACTTAAGCCTCAGTAATAAATCTTTGATCATATTAGCTTATTTTAGTGCACATCAATGAATTTTAATAGATGCCTTCAAAGTTTGGTCACTTGTATTACAAGCAAGATCTTAGCGTGCTTCGACCAAGGAGAGAAGTTAATATCTAGACGGCATTTCAAGGCTATGAAGCCCATATAAATCGCAATCCCACTCAAGGCTATAAAAACAGCCCCAAAATTCCATTGCACAACCACGGTTCTCATACTATCCTTTTAAGTACCATGGCATTAGTCATGATAATGTTTATGCTATGCCTCCTAGGATTTTCTCCGTTCTCAACACTGGCATCTCCCTCTAGTATTATAACTGTGTCTGTGTTTAGGAAGTTCTTCCCATCCAACATCGCGAATCCTTTCTACACATACAACGATTTCATTGCGGCAACAAAATACTATCCCACGTTTGGAAGCACAGGGAGTCTTGATGTTCAAAAGAGGGAACTGGCGGCCTACTTTGCAAATGTGAAGCAGGAGACTGGAAGTAAACTCGGATAGCATTTATCCATTAATCTCACTAATGTCTTGAAGTTTGTATATGGTTGCTTGGCTGTAGCACTGCAATACATTCGAGAGATCAACCGAAACAACGTCTATTGTGACACTAGTCGTGGGATCCCATGTCCTGCAGGTACAAAGGCTTACTATGGAAGAGGACCTTTGCAGCTCACCTGGTAAGCTGAAAATGTTATATTCAAAATTTAAAGTGTATATATACAGGAATTACAATTACAATGCTGCTGGAAAGGCTTTCAACATGAACCTCCTCCAAAATCCAGACCAGGTTGCTCAGAATGGCGTCCTTTCGTGGAGGTCATCATTGTGGTTTTGGATGCAAAATTCGAATTGCCACGCCGCAATAACACAGAACCAAGGATTTGGAGCTACAATTCGAGCCATCAATGGAGGGGAGTGTGGCAAGGGCCGTGAGACACAACCCGCACAGAACCGTATCAATTATTACAAGAAATTTTGCTCACAGTTGGGTGTTTCACCAGGTGGGAACCTTGGCTGTGCTAAACAAATGATTTTTAAAGTAACTAGCTACTAAGTAATGTATTATTAAAAACAAATAATTAATCTGGAAATTAGAGATCTTGGATTAGTTTCTAGAAATCTTTACAGTAGCAAGAAGTACTAGAGGAGAATGGTGGAAAGTCATGTATAAGAAAGCCGAGAACAATATCTTGCCTATCAGTCTACTTATAAAATGGGTAAAGTTGTAAGATGATGGATATCTAAAACAATTTAGTATCTAAAAAGCATTGCTGATATTACTGCATGAGACATGACGCCTCGGCCACTTCCTCCTCGCAGACAACCCTAGCCAAGTCTACTCACATTCTTCTCGTTCGTTTTAAACAGAAATTCTAAGGACTTGCTTTGTTGCTACCATCGGTTCCATCCCACTCTCGAAGCCAATCGAGGTATCCAGTGTGATAAATTAACCTGGGGGAGGGGATTGTCGTTAAACAACGACTTGAAATAGCTAAGCAAAATACTGCCTCAGTTTAGCTTACTTTAGTGCAGATAATACGGCCCAAAAGCAAAATACTGTCTCAGTCATTCCGTAGAGATGTGCTTATAATATTAGCTTGTTTTAGTGCACATAATACGGCCCATTGAATTTTAAAATAGACGCCTTCAAAGTTTGGTCACTTGTATTACAAGCAAACACAAAGAGATCTTCATAGCGTGCTTCGACCAAGCTAATATCTACACGGCATTTGAAGACTATAAAGTCAATATAAATCGCAATGCACTCAAGACTATAAAAACTACAAGACTATGGCCGTTTTATATTCCATTCCAAAATTCCATTCCACAAACGAGTTCTCATACTATCGTTTAAGTACCATGGCATTAGTCATGATAATGTTTACGCTATGCCTCCTCCCTCTAACATTGTAACTGAGTCTGTGTTTAGGACCTTGCGAATCCTTTCTAAACATTCAATGATTTCATTGCGGCAACAAAATACTATCCCACGTTTGGAAGCTCGGGGAGTCTTGATGTTCAAAAGAGGGAACTGGCTGCCTACTTTGCAAATGTGAAGCAGGAAACTGGAAGTAAAATTGCATAGCATTTATCCATTAATCTCATACTACGGAAGAGGGCCTTTGCAGCTCACCTGGTAAGTTGGAAATGTTATATTTAAAATTTAAAGAGTATATATATACATGAATTACAATTACGATGCTTCTGGAAAGGCTTTCAACATGAACCTCCTCCAAAATCTAGACCAGGTTGCTCAGAATGGCGTCCTTTTGTGGAGGTCATCAGTGTGGTTTTGGATGCAAAATTCAAATTGCCACACCGCAATAAACAGAACCAAGGATTTGGAGCTGCAATTCGAACCACCAATGGAGGTCAGGAGTGTGGCAAGGGCAGTGAGACACACGCACAGAACCGTATCAATTATTACAAGGATTTTTGCTCACAGTTGGGTCTTTCACCAGGTTGTGCTTAAACAAATGTCTAATTAGTAATTAATTATAAGTTATAATTCAAGTTTCCCTGCCAGAACATGAAGGACAAGAAGACTTGGCGAGAGAGGGGGATAGAGCATGTATACCAAAGTGTGGCAATAAAGAGACTTATTTGGAGATGGCTTCGGACGACACTTGGCGGTACGACAGCGCATTGGATCAATTCGGGAAGGCGCCCCTCCCAGAACTAGTATTGTGTGTCCCATGTGCGGTCAACCGTGGCTGCGATTGTTAGAGGTTCTAGAAGTAGAGAGCAGTGTCGAGTCCACGCTCGTTGTCTTTCCGTCCTGGTTCTCCATGACAGTTTAATGCTAGGTTCATCTTCGAGTTTTAAGACAACGATCACATCGTTTCTGCAGCTCCAGAAAAGATCAGCGACATCAAGTCGACATTCTGCTCGCTCAACAATTGATTATCATGGAGCTTTTGTCAATTGCGGCAGTTCTAGTGATTGCTGAGTTATTTGCTCCAGGCTTGGGTTTCCAGTGTCCAAAAGCCATGTTCTGGTTCGGGGATTCAGGGAATGTTCAAGCAAGAGCTCCGTTTATTAGTGCTGCAGAGTATAAGCCTTATGGCATGACTTTCTTCAGTAAGCCATCGAAGAGATACTCGGATGGTCGCTTGGTTGTCGACTTCTTTGGTAATTGTGTGCGTTGATTAAACAGCGTTTGATGTTATTCGTGTATGTTTTGCAGCGGAGGCTTTTGAGTATGATAGATTCCTGGATCCCATTTTGCAAAGTATTAACTCGAATTATGCCAACGGGGTGAATTTTGCGGTTTCTGGAGCGACTGCCTTGAACACCAGCTTCGAAGTCCCACTGTACCTTCCGGTTCAGATTGACCAGTTTCTGAGGTTCAAGCAGGATGCTTACGACAGCGGACATGGTAAAGGTAATGATTCTTCTCAGACTTTGCAAAGGTAGTGTCATTCATAGTTTCCTCTGTAGGGATGCAAAAGCTAGTTCCTTATTATCATCATCTAAAGACTGCTCTGTATGCGGTTGTCATAAGTACTAACGACCTTCTCAATTCCTACTTGTTGGAGCATAGAAGCCCTGAGAATGTAACAGCTGAGGTTGTTCCATACGTTGTGAGAGCCATCTCTCACGCATTACAGGTACACAAATTTGCATTCAGTCTTGAAGTTGTTCTAAAGCCTTTAATAGAGTCTCCATGGCGCACAAAACTTGTTGGTCTTCAGCACGTTCCCTCACGGCTGCATGCCGATATTGCTGAGCATATCCCGGAAGCGTTCAACAAGCAGTTGTATGATGAAATCCAAGTCTTGCAAAAGAACAGGACGGGATTTCATCTTCTTTATGCAGATGCTTACAAATTCACTTTGGATGTCCTGGATAAACCGCTAGTTTATGGTGAGATCTTGTGTTGTTATTGTAATTACCAAGATTGGAAGTTTGGGCAACCGTTTGTAGGAAACAAAAACATTTATGTCTTTCCAGGATCCCAAAACAAGACTAAACTATCAGCATGTTGCGAGAGTGGAGGGGAATATAACTTTGACGTTACTCAGCCATGCGGACTAGTTATCCAGCCAAACGGTACCACTTTGAAGCCTTCGGAGTACGTCAGCTGGGATGGCGTTCACTTTACCGAGTCGTTCTATCGGCAGTTGTCAAAGGCATTGCTCACAGGTCGATACATTTATCCATCTCTGAACATTACGCAGATTTGCAACTTCACTTCCAATAGGAAAGTGCGGAGAGAGCCCGAATGACAGAAGTTCATTTGCTGCAACAGAGTACTCAAATCTTTCTTCTTAATAGCTTAATTGAAGAAGTACATATATGCCTTTTGAATATCAAATCAAAATATCACGAGCAAATGACAGTGTTAATTTAACTTAATTTTAGTATGTCTTCGACATTTGCAGTAATGAAACTCTATGGAACGTTCCATAACAGAGTTTCATTACTGCAAAATGTCGAAAACATACTAAAATTAAGACTGAGATGCATAAGATAAACTAACCTCTGGGGCTCCTCGAATTCCTATAATTGTGGTGATTATGTTATATATCTCCACATTAGGAAACGAGGCCACTTTTCGTCTCGGAAATCTTGGGCCATGAGCAAAGAAAACAGAGAGTACGCATTGTCATAACCATGAAAACCTCCATAGCTACTATTTGTTGATCTCCCAAGCTTCACAGTATAGCTTTCTGATGCCATCCCAATGATAGGTTGACCAAACTTCCCATGTGAGAAATGTAGCCTTTCTGGCAAATATTCCTTGAGGAAAACCTTGAGGAACTGTCCATTATTCACCTTTTCTGACTGCAATCCTTCGTTCATCTTCTTCACAATGTGCTTTGCATCAAAACCTGGTCAAAAGCTTAGTCAATAAGAGTCAAAATAAAGTTATCACATAAATTACCTCTTGGAGGTCTCAATGCAACTACTGCTCCAACCCCTGATCCATGGAGCCAAATCCTCGAGAATCACCTTACTCTCGCAGCTCATTACCCTTCCATGGTCACTAACAATGATAATATGAACATCATTGAGTCTCTTGCGAGTCTGGTCCCGAGGCATGCCCTGCATGATCCGGATTGTCAAAGTAAACAGCAATGAAGCTTGGACTGGCATGTCCACAAACTTTAGAATGGAGTCAATGCGGTCCTCAAAGGCAAGAGATGAGTTTGCAAGGCGAGCACAGTACTCTTGAGGGCAAGTCCAGTGGCCTCTTACAACTTCACTCCCCGGCCATAGATAAGTTCCAGCCCTGAGTCCATTCCTGACTACCGTTTCCCAAAGAGGCTCTCCGTGCCACCACCTTGGATCCGCCCACGAGACGTTAAACCTTGTCCACGAAACTATTGGCAATAATTCCGTGCCATGCAGGATTCAAACCTGTTTAAATTAATTGATTTACTACTGTGGGAAACACTGGAATCATACGTGGAAAAGCTTCCACACCATTCTCCTTGATGAAGTCAATGTTGGGAGTGGACGTTTTAAACTGGTAACCCCATTTTAATCCATCAACAGATATGAGAATGACCACAGGCTTCTTGTTCATGCCGGCAGCCACCAGTTCCACAGAAACATGCAAACTAACGTCAACAAAGCGATCCTCATATCTCGATCAACATAAGGTCTAGAAAGGTGATTAGTTTATATGGTCGCTTTGATGTATGGTACGCATCAGGCATCCCGACTTTGGAGGCCATTTTTTCTCGTCGTGATTACCTTAAGTTTTGTATGAGGACCCTCTCCAGGATTATTGCGTACACAACGTGAACAGCACCACCAACGTGAATGATTTCCCTTGCAAGGCCCCCAGCACAGTCACCGCCAGTGATTTCCTGTTCCAGGGGCTCCGCAATCCGGGCAACACCAACAACAAGCTCGGGTCGATCGTCACACCTGCGAGCGTGAGCGTCTGGCCGGGAATCAACACTCTTGTCATCTCTTTGCAAGGATTGACATCGCTCCATATGGTGTCTATCCATCCCAGAGCAACCGAGATCCTCTATCTCCAACAGGGAACCCTCTACTTGGGATTCATCACCAGCAATAACTATAGGTTCTTTGAGCAAACTTTGCAACCTGGTGATATCTTTGTCTTTCCCAAGGCTCTGATACACTTTCAACTCAATACTGGGAACACCCCGGTTGTTCCTATTGCTGGGTTGAGCTCTCAGATCCCGGGAATCCCCCAGGTTCCAAGGGCGATAATTGCTTCCAGTCCTGGCATTGCTGATGAAGTGCTCAAGAAGGCCTTCCAAGATCTTCTCAAGGGTCTCAGAAATGCTATTCAACAGACTTAAGTTAGATTTTTCCTTCTTTAATCTTCAAACATTTGCAAGTGGTAATCTAAGGGAAATAACTGATAGCCTCCGCATTCCTATGGTTGACTCATCGTTGAATCTGACTTTCGATGACTAGCTTCCTTCTCCAACGTTTAACATGGGCCGTTCAATGTTTCCGCCCCAAGCACAGTTGATTCTCCCTCGTTCTATTCAAGAATCTGGACTAGGACGTTGACATGAGCGATGACTTTGTGGATAGACGGTGTCACCAAGCCCTCGTCACCCTGGAAGTAGCAACTCGTGGTACGGAGAATTTCTGTATATGCCATCCTGCCTTCAGACTTCTAGAATTTATCCGTGCTTTACACCATTTCCATTGTGGCTTCTAAAGTGAGCTTTGATATGCAGAAAGTATGTGGGCACCCAGCCGGTGTGGTGATACAGGCTGCTTGCGTTTCGATCTTCTTCTACTCTAGATAGGCCACATATTCAGCCTGAAAAAGAGACAATCTTATCAGTGAAGTAGTAAGGACGAAGAAAGGTGAACATGACGAGTATACAATGACCTGGTTGTTCGAGTTCCGTGCCCATCGACAACGACATGGATCTACTCCCTTGAGTAGTTTAACGCCTTGGGCTCTGGAAAACTAGTGCTCCCAGAGAGATATGCAAAGCTTCATTAAAAGAGGAATCAAACAGGAAAGCACATTAATGCACCGAAGCTTCGGAGATCCTTCAAGTGATGAGTGAGTCCTTGACTAACACTAACGAGCATTATAGCTGCATTAGAACGTCAGACATGACATCCATTCCTTCATACATCTTCGTCCAGTGAGCAGAAAACCTGTCTCTAAATCCCTGTTGCAATGCATGAGAAGATTGCCATGGGCAGAAGCTGCCTGGACCTTCATCTCGGTTGTTTTTTTTTCCCCCGTGGCTGATAGAGAACTCCTGTAATCGAAAAAGAGCAAATACAAGTTGAATTTCCGCTTTCATTTCCTTGAGCCCTTGCGTGGCAGGCATCAAACAAGGCCATCCAACGTCACTGGATTAGTTGAAGCAGATATTTACTGCAGCGTGGCAACTGTAAATCAGCATTGATCATTGAACCCTGGAGTGTTGTTGATTAACAACTTTCCTGGAGACATTGCACAGAAGGATAGAAGAAACTGCTTGAATTCTGAGCGTGCAGACTCTGGCTCTCGTCCCAAGACTCCCAAGAAATTGTGGTTTCATAAGTGTGACCTCAAATAGAATAGCAGTTGGTGGAATGTTGGCAATAAATATGTTATTATTGCTTTCAATTACTTAATTTATTAGGTGAAAGTTTATGTTTTACTAGTGCAATTGTTATTTAATATTTGGTATTCCAACATTCTTGTCTAGAGTGGATTCTCTCAAATAATAATATTATGTTTATAGTTGAGGCATTTTATGTTCTAATATGTTGATTAAGAATACGTTACATTTTTGCTATCCATAAATGGATGGTTTAGTACAATAGTTTATTTGGACTTTCAATATGATGATTGTGAAGTATGTGAATTTTTAACATTTGTATTGGGATGCTAATTTTTCAATATACATATATGTCACAAGGGTGTAAAGTTTCATTAATGTTTTAGTATATAAATTCATGTAGTCATAATCTTTTATTGCCAATAAAGTTAATTCAAGTAAAATTTATTGAACATTTAGGCCACAATTATCATCATCATCCATTTATATAGTATAAATGGATGACCTAATGTTAATGATTTTACTAGACATAATTTGTTTAAAGGTTTTAGAAGGGGTAAATTGGATTGCAAATTTATAAAATTTTGCATAACATTCAACATGTTAATCATCCAAAAATTATTCATGTGCAATGAGATCAAAAGTAAATTACATTGCCTCTTTCTAATGTTTCTCTAAATCCTAACTCATTAACATAGACACAATAACCTTTAACTATTCTAAGATTTTGATTGATTTTAATTCAACCACTCGCTCTTGTATATAAATGTCATTCCTATATTCTGTATTTTTAAATTCCAAACACTCACAAAATGATAAATCATGTTTGTATGTCATCATGCAATGCCTAGCATTTTGCTGTTTCAATGAATGCCAACTATGCCACGTGGCAAAGCCAGATCAAACTCCTAAAGAGTTTTGGATGATCTAAAAACTTATGGAAAGTCCACCTATGACTGAGCAACGAGTTTTTCACAGGAGAGCCCAAGAGCTTTGTTGTTTGGCACCAGGAAGCCAAAAATCATTCCTTTTTCTTGGCGATGGTAAGCCGGAGGCTTGCGGTGACAGCTTCTCAAGATCTTGTGCCGGCTGCGGACGAGATACGAGCGAAGGATACTGAAAACCAAAACAAAATCTGCTTGAAAACAGTGAAACGGTAGCTACCTCTACACTAGAAAGCTCGAATCACGCTTACTTCAGATCGCAGCCAGTTTCACTAGATGTTTGAACTGGTCCGGAACAAACGACTCCACCTTGAACTCTTTGGGCTTCTCGCCTCTCTTGGGGTGTGGTGGCATCGGTGAGGAGTGCTTGATGCCAATCAAGGTTGGCATTGCTGCATTTTTTTATTGTTAGAACTTAGCACCCTCGAAAACTGAATATCACAAACTTACTTTTGTGTACGCGTCCATAAAGGAGCTTCTCGCCTCTCCAGTACTCCAACGGTCTGGACCGGTACCTTGTGCTGCACCTCCTACCATTTTTCCATTCCATCCCAGATTCTGCTTGAACCGGAGAAATAAGATTGACAGTGATAACAAATGCACCAAAGGTTTGTACCTTTGAGCCACGGGCTTTGTTCGGCCTCAGCCTTAACTTCGCGCTTACGTTTAACTCTCCTTGTCTCACAAGTTGGAGCACAATCTTCTGTCTCGCAATCAAAATCTGAAAAGAACGAAGGAAGAGAATTTGTTTCAACCAAGAAAATAATTGTAGTTGAAGCACCTTTGAGACGAAGTTCCTCTAGGAGCTCATTTGGACTTTCTGTTGTTGCCATTTTCATAGCCATACTACAATCTTCTGTCTCGCAATCAAAATCTGAAAAGAACGAAGGAAGAGAATTTGTTTCAACCAAGAAAACAATTGTAGTTGAAGCACCTTTGAGACGAAGTTCCTCTAGGAGCTCATTTGCAGTTTCTCTTGTTGCCATTTTCATAGCCATACTACAATCTTCTGTCTCGCAATCAAAATCTGAAAAGAACGAAGAAAGAGAATTTGTTTCAACCAAGAAAACAATTGTAGTTGAAGCACCTTTGAGACGAAGTTCCTCTAGGAGCTCATTTGCAGTTTCTGTTGTTGCCATTTTCATAGCCATACTACAATCTTCTGTCTCGCAATCAAAATCTGAAAAGAAAGAATTTGTTTCAACCAAGAAAACAATTGTAGTTGAAGCACCTTTGAGACGAAGTTCCTCTAGGAGCTCATTTGCAGTTTCTGTTGTTGCCATTTTCATAGCCATACTACAATCTTCTGTCTCGCAAGTTGGAGCACAAGCTTCTGTCTCGCAAGTTGGAGCACAGTCTTCTGTCTCGCAACTTGGAGTACAATCTTCTGTTGGAGAAAACTCTTCTGTTGGAGCAAAATCTACTGTCTCGCAAGTTGGAGCACTTAAGCTCACAGTTTCCGGTACTTGGGGTTTCATAAAAGAAAGGTCCAGTGTGTGTTTGATTCGCCTGAAACTTTCACTTTTCCCCAATGAAAGAAGAAAAAACAAGACAAACCTCGCACTGTTCTTTGATCGAACCCGCGACAACCGGGACATGAAGCTCGGATTTTCTTCTCTGCCCTCCTCACGGTCCCAAAACTCGGCGACGTCCATCAATCCACCTTTTGAACAAGAGGGAATCGATGGCATCACTCGCGACTTGTTGGTGGCATTTTTCTTGGATCGAACCCGCGACAAACGACACACCAGGCTCTGATCTTCATCTTCGACTGTGCAAACCAAGAACCTCAAGAAAAGCTACAGGAGGAAAAAGAAGAGATAAAAGAAAGTACCTTCGTTACTCTTGGATTGAGAAGGACCGGACTCCCCCATGTCCTCCCAGTCGCAAAATGTAGCAAGATCCTGCTCGCGGAGGAACCCCAGCGACGCTGGCATGAGCCGGAAGATATCATTCTCCTCATCCTCATCGTCGTCCTCGCTCAGCGGCATCTCCTGCCGCTCCACGATCATCCTCCCTGCCCACAAACCCTAGCCCTCGCAAAAGCAAATTCAAATTAATTGGCCGCCCCAGGAATCGAGCCCGAGACTTTTCCGCGTTATCCACCGTGGACGGCTAGGATGCGGCTAGCTCTTTCACTGTCAGCTGACACGTCAGCAGCAATGCAGTGTGTGCTTGTTCTTGCTCTTGGCTATTAGGGTTTGTGGCGGGCGATGGAGGATGTGCTGCCCGCGCTGCTGCTGCAAACAATCCTGGCACGGACGGATGCCGTGGACTGCGCTAGGGTAGCTTGCGTCAATCGGCGATGGCGGGCGCTGGCGCACGACGACACGCTCTGGTCGCAGCACTGCCGGGACGAGTATGGCGTGTGCGCTGCCGCGGATTTCATGGGCAATCCCTGCTGCAGCTTCAAGGTGAGCGAGAGAGCGAGAGATTGTAGCATTTTCTAGCGGGCATTCTAGGACAAGAAGTGGATTTAAATCCCACCATTGGTTTTCTCGCAGGAAACTTACGCTGCCTGGCACGACGAATTCAACCAGTATGGTGGGCTCGTCTATCGGACCAAGAAACTCTGGGATGATTTGAAGGGCGTGCTGCGCTCCAATTACCCCGCAGTGGCCGATTCTCTCGCCCGCCAGGCCTCGGAGGCGGACATTGTCGCGGCCGAGAGCACGCTGGGCTGGCCTCTGCCTCCTCACGTCCGCCTTCTCTATCGCTTCTGCGATGGCCAGCAGATCGTGGATGGCGACGAGATCGCTCACCAGTACGTGGGTCTTCTCGGAGGATACTACTTCTACAATCACTTTGTCAACGTCCAGCTCCTGCCGCTCCAGCAAGTTGTCTCCTACACCCAGCGCCTCCTCTCGCGAGCTCCCGCTGGAACCAAGAGGATCGTCATCGCCGCGTCGTGCAACTTAAACAAGTTCTTCCTCCTCGACTGCGACAGTGGGATGGTGCTGGTTGGCACCAAGAACTTCCTCAAGAAGTACGAGGTGATGCCTTGCCTGCCGCTGGCGAGTAGCAATCCCGGCGATGGCATGCTTCGGTGGCTCGAGGAATACCGGGATGGACTTTTGAGTGGCAAGTATACAGTGCGCAACGACGATGGGATCCGGAGCATCAGCCTCTATCCGGAGAATGGGTCCACTTGCACAGAGGCTGTGACACAGGGAATCCAGGTGCGTGCTTAAGGTTCTTTGCGGTCTCTTTGTTGTGACGTTCTGTGAATTTTTCCAGGTGAGAGCTTCTGCGGTGTTTGTTCCTGAGCTGTCTGATCCAGAGGCTCTAGAGAAGTATCTCTTCAGTTACTCCGTTCGAATGCGGTTCCTGCCCGTCAGTGCGTTGGCTTCTAACCAGTGTCAACTTTCGAGGCGCCACTGGGTCGTGACCGCCGACGATGAAATCGTCGATGAAGTGCGTGCTGAGGCTGTGGTTGGCATGGTAAGCTCTAGGATCTCGTAGCAAAACAGGACTTTTTTATGTGAGCTTACCCTTGCTTCTTCCAGTATCCGCTTCTCAAGCTCGGTGGCGACGCCTTCGTTTACGAGAGCTGTAGCACGCAGAACACGCTGTCCGGATCGCTGGAGGGCGATTTCACGTTCGTGCCTGGATGGTATGTTGGTTTCTCTCTTTTGGTTTAGCTCGCTAAAGAATTTGCTCTCTCTCTCTCTCTCTCTTGGCAGCCTTAGCAGGCAAGAAGGTCCAGAGTTTTGCGTGAGAGTGGCACCTTTCCCTATGCAAGTTCCTCGGTACATATTCTAAGCGCGCACGAATTGGATTTATGGTTTGTGTTGTAAATACTCTGGAAATTTTTCTTCTTTTTTCTCCTGTGCTGTGCTAAGTTATACCTCTAAGCTCTGGTGCTCCTGTATGTAACTCTAGCGTGGAAGAAGAAAGAACATTCATACAGTTATAAAACAAGCCTTGTGTGGAAGTGCTCTCGTCCAATCAGATGGTGTCCATTTGGCACCTCTCCCAGATTGGCAGCAAAGCCGCCACGCGTCACGAATATTCCTCCGGCAGGCTCTATCCGTCAGCTTGACGGGCGGGCATATTCCGTCAGAGGAGAATATTCTTTCCCCTTGGCACTAGGCTTTTCTCTTCTCTCTCTCTCTCTCTCTCTCTGCCCGCGGCGAAAGAAGAAGCTATGGCGGTAGCGTCGCCTCTTTCCATCTCGGTGTCCAACGATGTGGACCAATTCGTGTCCGGCGATGGCGATGGGTTCGAGCTGGAGCCGTCGCGCGTCGTCAAGGTGGAATCGGAGGAGGCGTGGGAGCAATTCCTCAAGGAGGCCAATGCACAGAGCGCCATTGTAAGTGTTTGACCTATGGCTCTAGCTCCACTTGTAGTTCCAGCGCGCAGCTACAAACGCGATCCTTGTGAATCCTTAAAGGATCTAATCCTTGTTTCTTAGGTGGTGGCTCATTTCAGTGCCGAGTGGTGCGCGCCTTGCAAATTCATGGAGCCAGCCTTCAACAACATGTCCAAGCGATTGACTCACGTTATTTTCTTGGAAGTAGACATGGACGTGCAACATGTAAGTGGTTCTCTCCTCTCTCCTTGCTCCAAACTTCGAGAACGCGCAGGAATGAGAATGAAGAACGAAACAAAAGAGTGTTTTTTTTTGTGTGTTCTTGGTTTGTGGCCTTCGTACTGATTGATTGCTTCTTTGGGTGGAACTTGGCAGGAGCTGGCTTCCAAGTTGCAAGTGAAAGCACTGCCGACTTTTCTCTTCATCAAGGACGAGGCAGTGATCGACAAAATCGTGGGAGCCAATCCGGAGGAGCTGGAGAAGAAGATCGAGACACTGGCCTCGCCGTGTTGATGAGCACGCACGACTCGACTGGACGGGTCTCGTTTTTTTTTTCTCTCCCCCTTTTCTTTGTTTGATCGCTACGTAGGAGGCCATGGAATAAGTGCTGCTGCAAGCCGGGGTTCCATTTCATCACCATCGTCACGGTCGTTGTCATTCAGCCCGCCCAAGGATTTTCGATTTCTCCCACGAGTTTTCTTCTCCTTTTATCTTCGTGTAGGTAGCTCACAGCCTGTGCATATGAATCTATAGATGTTTGCTCTCTACGCTGATTGAATCAATCTACGAGAGTTTGATGCGTTACCCCGTGATCACGCCAGGTTCTTGGTTGCTGTTGGTTCCAGAGATTTGGATTGGGATTCTGCGAATGGTGAGTCTGTTCGTCACGTCGCAATCGCTTCGTTCGTGTCCGAGAATGAGAAGACGAGTGGTTTCGTCCAAGCGAGAAACTCTGCGTGGCTCCCCGTAAGCCAGCTATGGAGCTTATCATCGTCAGCTGATAAATCCCCCCCAGATGGCATACAGGGAGCCAGGCAGAGTGATTTTGTTTCTTCTTTCTTGCTCGGCTCCACACAAACTTCGAAGAATCCTGGCAACCAAAAAAAAAAAACAAAAAAAAACCAGTTTTTTTTTCTCTCTTCTCTTCCCAGAGACCGTGAGAGAATGATTCATGCGTTTGTTTTTACGAGGAAGAAGATGTAAACGAGAACTTTTACCTGGAAACTTGGATGGATCATCGCCAGGATTTGACAGATCGCTTTCGACTGTAACAGCGAGCAATTTGGAGTTTTTGTGACCTGGAAAGCTGCGAGCTTGAATCGGAGCAGTTCCCAGTCCTCGTCAAACAAAGCTTAAACAAAAGAAAAAAAGAGAGTAGCGATGAGCATGAAAAAGTTTAATCGCGAGAGAGTGTGAAGACCACCGACTTGTGTGCGATAGGAATGAATGAATGCTTGTGTTGCTGCGAGTCTTGTCGCCAGTTGGTCTAGATCTCTCCGCGCTATATACAGTTCAATCAATTCAATCATGGCAGGGAATAGTCAATCCAATCACACTCGAGGAGCTCTCGCTGCTTCTTTCTCTCTTCGCCAATCCAATGCAGCATGAATTCAAGCACTCACCATGGAGAATTCGGATGGAAATCTCGCCTTTGCGTCACTTGCATTGTCGAATTCTCGGTTGGATCCCGTTTGGATGGGGATGGACTACTGCAATGGAATGGAGGACAGCTCTTGATCTCCATGCCCGCTCGCTCGCTCGCAGCAATCTCGCAGTCGATCGAAACGCACAAAGAGTGGATTGAGAGAAGAAACGAGAGGAAGAAGAAGAAAGAACGTTGTTCCGCAAAGCACCTTCTTCCTTTTTATTGCCCAACAGAGTTTTCAATCCACAGCACGTCACGCCCGTCGGCGGCCGTCAGTAGTTCGTTTCTGCCACGTGCCACGCTCCCAGCCGTCCGTGGCGAACAAAGAAGAACACACGCATCAACCTCCGTTATAGACTAAACTCTTTTTCTATTTCTTCTTCTTCTTTCGTTACGCGTTTGCTTTGCTTTGCCTCGCATCGCAGCTCCATTGCATGCTTGCCCGTGAAACGGCCGTGATGTAGGTAGCCATCTTCGCTCGAGAGATTTCTTTTCGTTTCTTCTACTCGCTCCAACCGTTGCCAAAGGGGAAGCTTGTAGCTCGCTGCTAGATTTCCTGCCTCACTCCTCCAGAGCATCACTTATCCCATCATCTCCGCTCGTTCGATCGCTCGCTCGCTACTGCCACTGGAATCCAAAGAAGCATTAAGTTAGTCCAATCCACAAAGTTTTTCTTAATCCAGGAAGAACTTACTCGCAGGACGATTCCAACCAACCCACCAACGCTTGCGTACTCTGCGGTACCCGAGCTGCAAGGAAAAGCCCGGAGCAATTACAAACTCCCGCCCCCACTCGATCCAAACATCCCAGTCACAGGATTGATTCAGCAATATCACAACCAGAGCTTCAGTGGTCGTGGTCACAGCTTTGCTGGCTGGACGTTTCCTGTATACGACTTCTCGACTTTATGGAAAACAAGTGAGTGAGAAAGAAGAAGATGAAGCTCACTTCCTTTCATTGGCTTATCTCCAAACTCTTGGGCGGAGGACGAGTTGGGATAACTTAGCAAGCAAACGCCTTGTAGTATACACAGCCCCTGGTGGTTTTTCCTTTCTTTCCAACTGAAGAAATGCCTTACCATCGTACGTTCCCTGCATGTAAAATAAATGACGCAAGGAACTCACATGGGATATGCCTGGCCGGTGGACTGACCAGTCTCACCATGACCGAGTCTGATCACCAGGGCACCAGCACCTGCAAAGCATTTATCAGAATCTTCAATGGAAGGAATAGACACAAGTTGAAAGCCAAGCAACCGACATGAGGCACTTACCCTTGACAAAGATGAGAGAATAGTTCGTATGGAGCGCGCGTAAGCATGAGCGCTGTCCTAGAGCCGGTCCTAGGCTACTTCTGCAACTTTGCGGGTGTAGGTTTCTTCTTGACCGCTGCTGCTGTTGCTGCTGCTGCTCCTGCTGCTCCTGCTGCCGTTGTTGTCGGGGTTTGATCGGCTCCCTCAACTTGTTGCTTGTTCTGGCTCAGTACCATTTGAACGTAACAGTGCAGCTGCCACAGCGTCCCCGTATCCTGTCGAGCGAAACAGTCTTGGTTTAGTATCATCAACGTACTGTACGAGAGATTTCTCACCAGGGCATCAATATCCACCTCGACTTCAGCAACTGCGGCATTGAAACTGGGATTATTCTTTGCGATTATCTGGATCACGCGGTTCAGTCCCGTTGGAGGCAAGCGCCCGAGACTCTGACCAAGTTGTCTTTTCTCTTCGATCGACATTGGCCTACACACACGCAGGTAAGAATAGGAAGAGAAACCATCGAGCATTTGCCTGTATTTTGATGTAGCATTGATTTTAATCTCCTCGAGCTCGTCTTCTAGATTGTTTAGCTGTGAACGTTCTAGGTGAGAAGGAACTCTAGCCTCACAAGACGTGTACCTTTTTGCAGATCTCGTGAGCCATTCTATCAAGCGCAACTTCCTCTGCGGCTTTAGCCTCTTCGCCTTCGTGAACTTCCAGTTCCACCATTTCCTGCTTTCGTTTAGCACCCTTAAGACACACACAATTACCAAGTGGTGTCAAGTTTAAACACAAAAATCTCCTGATACCGACTTACCTCTTCTAGAAGCTTTGGTTCCAGAACGAATTTATATTTCTCCTCAAACTTTTCAGAAAGCGTCTTGGCCATGACATACACGTCGGTTCCCACTTCGTTATATGTCATCGCGTTCGAGAAAACAAGCCTCACGTCCTCGGCAATTTCTTGAACGCTCCGGTATCCACTCCCATCTTTGGCTTCCATCTTTTCTCGAATAGTTCTAAAGTCCATAGGACGTTTAATTACCTGCAAACAAAATAAAACTACGATGATCAGCAGGGAAGACAAGAAGTAAAAAAGCGCTCCTTACATCGTAGTAATCGTGTAATTGCAAGCCCTCCACATCAACAGGTTGCATGAAAGGCCAAGCCCACTTGTGTTGTGTAACCTGCATAAGAATAGAACGGGGTTTGTCAGCTCACAACTCTACATTGTCTTACCTGTCGAAGAATGTTGCTAAATATTCTCAAGTGATCCTGTGCACGCTTCGTATGCAGAGCTTCGCGGCGAGCGTTCTCTAGAGCTCGCTGCTTCTTAATGGCCGCGACTGCCTTTTCTCTATCATCGTCAGTCACTGTAATTCCAACCGGTCTATCTTTCAGGGAAGCTCTTCGCATCCTGAGAATATCAGAAACTTGCCGCTCCATCTGTTTGTTCACACAAAAATTTGCAGGAGAGATGGAAGGAAAAACAAAAGAAAAGACTTACATCTTCTACTTTGGAATTCATCTCCGTGACCTGGACTTTCAAGTTTCGCTTAAACTCGTCTTTGTCTGGCGATGCTTGCTGCGAGCCTGTGATAGACTGTGTAAGTGGAATAAAAAAAACCAAAGTTTTAATCTATATACCCGGCACTCGACTTCGATCGTTCACAGCCGGAGACTCTCCAGCTTTGCCTTCTTCCACGCCTTCCATGGCTTCGTCCCGTCCATTACTATCGGCGGAGCCATCGGTAGCTTGAGCGGACATAAGCGTGGACAAACTCCGGCATGGACGCTTTGCATCCCTCTCGTTGCTGTTGCTGGGACTAACCACGGAGGTGTTCTTGAGATGAGACATTCCTTTGGAGATCTTTCGCTTCCTCTCACCTGTATCATCCCTCTCCTCCATCCAGGGTTAGGGCAAAATCACACTCTAAGAAAGCATGGCGTCCTTGCAGCTCCAGGTTTGTGATTCTCCTTTTCGTCACCGATGATCGAAATCTCTACCAGGAGCGCGCGCTTGGAGCAACCCTGGGACTGATCGCTGGAGCTGGAGCTGTTCTCTACGAGCGCCGGCTGCTGTGGCGATCTACTGCCATCACAGGACACGCATTGTCTGGCGGAAACATGCCACTGCCTCCCCCGATCCCTGTGAGCCCCAAAATCTCGATTTCTATCTCTGCCTGACTCGCGATTCACAGCCTCCGGAGCCGCTCTTCGGGAAGAAAGATCGAGAGGAGCTCGCGCACGCCTGGAATCTCAGCATCGATCGCTACTTCAAGCCGATCATCGCCGAGCTCTCGGCCAGAGGCTGGTAGAAGGAAATGGAATTGAGAGAAACATTTTGACCTAAAAATAAGTTTAGTCTAGCCTAGTCTCCCAAGAGCCCTAATCGAACAGGAGCTCGCGATTGCCCCAGATTTCTCCAGAGCGCGCGAGCTAGGGGCGATTTCCATGGCGTGGCAGCAGCAGCAGCCGCCGCGGCCAATGCAGGTATGCTTCTTGCGCTTGGATCTCGCGTTTGATTCGAGAGAAGAGATTTCATCGCAGCCGTATGGATACAACAATTTTGTTCCTCAGCCCGGTATGCCTGGAATGCCACCACAGCCACCGCCTGGATCCGGCGATTCAGCCTTCTACAACTCGGATCTCATTCGCACGGGGCTGGGCGCCTACGGCGAGAAATTGTTTGGCAGCAGCAAAGATTATGTACAAAGCAATGTAAGCTTTCACAAAAGAGAATTTTTATTTTTTTTCCTCTCGTTTCTTAGAGTGTTCTTCCTTCGTCGCAGATTTCCAGGTTCTTGGCCGGGCAAGACATTCACTATTACTTCCAGCTCAACGAGCAATACGTGAAGAACAAGCTCAAGATCATTTTGTTTCCATTTCTACACAAGGTGGGAGGCTTGAGAAAATCTTGCTAGAGATTGAGAGATTGTGTTCCAGGGACACTGGACGAGAATCGCCGAGCAAGTCGCGGGAGGCATCACTTACAAGCCTCCCCGGTATGATATCAACGCTCCCGACTTATACATTCCTCTCATGGCTCTCGCGACGTATGTGGTTCTTCGCTGCTACGCTCTTGGCTTCACCGGAAAGTAAGATCTCGATCTCGTTCAAGCTCTCTCTCACCATCGCTCTTCGTCACAGGTTCTCGCCGGCAGTGATGCAATCCAGCTTCTCCCACGGGATTGGAGCGTGGCTCGTGGAAGTGATCCTCGTCAAGGGGATGCTCTTCGCGGTGGGCAGTGGCGAAGTCCCATGGCTCGACACGCTCGCCTACAGCGGCTACTCACTCGTCGGTATGTCTGTCTCCATCGCCGCGACGATCTCGAGCAAGTACCTCTTCTACTTCGCGCTCCTCTGGACGGGGATTTGCATGGGAGTGTTCCTCGTCAAAACGCTCAAGAGAGTGTTCCTGGCGGAGGTCCGGAGCTACGAGCGCGACTCGAGCAAGCACCACTACTTGCTGCTCTTCGTCGCCATCGCCCAAGTTCCAATCTTTCTATGGTTTACTCGGCTCTAGCTTTGCCGCAAAGCTTTCGTGCGTTTTAATTTAGTCGCGGCGCGTATATTCCCCTTAAACCCTAGAATTTTTTTTGAAAGGCAGCGCCTTGGAGAAGATACTAGGGGAGGAGGGCTTTCTCTCTCTCCCAGGGCGATGGCGAGCGCGATGGCGGTGGATTTCTCCGCCGCCGCCGACGAGGAGGATGCGATCAACGAGCCTATTCTGGTGGGATCACTCATGGCCGAGGTGAGAGGTTTAGCGCATCATCGCGGGAAGCTGTCCAGCGACGGGCTCGCGCAGCTCGTCCGCGATCCGACGAATCGTTTCGATACGAATGCGTTCCGGGTGATCAACGAGCGCGGCGAGCAAGTCGGGTACATCCAGAAGGAAAAGGCCAAGAGTCTAGCGCCGCTGGTGGACAAGGGGCTGGCGCAGCTCCAGTGTATCGGTGCTGGGAATGGAAGCTCTAACAGGGTCTCGTGTGAGGTCTTCGTGTTTAGCTTGCCGGCGATGGTCGACGCTGTCCGGGATCATCTCGAGTACTATGGCGAGCAGCTGAGAAGTCCTTACGATCCTCCAGTAGATAATGTAGATGATGGTCGTGGTGGTGGTGGTAGCGATCAACGAGTAGCAAATGGTAGTTCTTCAAGAAGTGGTGGTGGTAGCGATCAACGAGTAGCAAATGGTAGTTCTTCAAGAGGTGGTGGTGGTAGCGATCAACGAGTAGCAAACGGTGCTAGTTCTTCAAGAGCTTCGACTAGTTCTTCCAGCAGAAGACGTGATTATCGTGATCACCACCAGCAGCACCAAAGGCCTCCTCGTGATCAGCATCACCGAGTCGATCGGTCGTTAAGTGTACCGGCGCCACCACCGGCGAGGAGAAAGTTGATGATGGCTCCTCCGCCTCCTCCTCCTCCTCAAGCTCCAAAGGCTCCAAGCATCGATGATATCTTCGAGAGCATGACGGCTGGAGCAAAGATCCGGCAGCGCATGGAAGCTGACAACAGTGTCATCAAGTCCTCGTTGATGCAACACCAGAAGGAGGCTCTGGCTTGGATGGTCCAGCGAGAAAACTCGTCAGCTCTTCCTCCGTTCTGGGAGAAGAAAGGCACGACAATGTATACCAACACTCTGACAAACGTTACGTCCGCCAAGCGCCCCGAGTCTCTCCGGGGTGGGATCTTAGCTGACGATATGGGACTCGGGAAGACACTCACGGTTCTAGCGCTCATTGCCACCAACAAGCCCGGTGCTGTTCTTCCACCGATCGAAGACATCAAGGAGCCAGAGCAAAGTCAGGGTGGCGAGCCAGCCTCGAAGAAGCTCAAAACTTCCGATGACAAAGGAAAGGCAAAGACAGCAGCTCCGGTGCCCGTTTCCAACGACGGACCTCCCTGTGTTCCAGCAGCCGATGGTCCTCGAGGAACTCTGGTGATTTGCCCGCTCTCGGTGCTCAGCAACTGGGAGTCGCAGCTAAAGGATCACACGTACCCCGCGGGGCTCAAAGTCCACAAGTATCACGGACCGAATCGCACCGCCAACGCCAGGACTCTTGCAGACTATGACATCGTTTTCACGACTTACAACATGCTTACCGAGAGAAATTCTCCTCTCAAGAAGGTCCACTGGCTGAGGCTGGTGCTGGACGAGGCTCACATTATCAAGAACCCGAGAGCGCAGCAAACCAAGAGTGCGGTGGCCTTGAATGCCGACCGGAGATGGGCCGTGACGGGCACTCCAATCCAGAACAGTGCCAAGGATCTCCTTAGTCTCATGCAGTTTTTGCATTTCGAGCCTCTCAACGAGCAGAGTTTCTGGACGAAGACTATACAGAAGCCACTGACGAGCGGCGAGCCTGTTGGATTCGCTCGGCTCCAGGTAAAGTTTCTTCTTTCATTTCGTTTATAACCGGCGATCATTCAGGGACTTATGTCTTCCATCTCGCTGAGGAGAACGAAAGAGACGAAGGTGAACGGCAAGAAGCTCGTTGACTTGCCTCCCAAGATCATTACTGTCTTCCCGGTGGATCTCAGCCCTGAAGATCGCAGTCTGTACGACAAGATGGAAAAAGATGGCAGGAATATGATCCGGCGCTTCCTGGACAACGGCACGGTGACGAAGAACTACGCCGTGGTGCTACAGATGATTCTCCGGTTGCGTCAGATATGCGACCACACGAGTATGTGCCCGGCGGAAATCGTTAATATGAGCACTTCATCAGACACCGACACTCAAGGTATGTCTATGATCAGAAAAAACAAAAGGAAAACTTGAGTTTTCTGAAACTTTGCAGGAGCAGGACCGAAAGCGGCCAGTCCAGAGCTGCTGAAAAAAATGCTGGCCACGTTGGGCGATGATTTCGATTGTCCGATCTGCCTCGCTCCTCCTTCGGGAGCCGTGATCACATCCTGCGCTCACGTTTTCTGCCGGCGGTGCCTCGAGAAAGTACTGGAAGACGAGGACAAACAGTGTCCAATGTGCCACGAGGAGTTGAGCGAGGACGATATCTTCTCTTCTGGGAAACCAGACGAGGAGGAAGATGAAGAGCTGTCCAACAAAAACGATGTCGAGGACGACGATGACAAAATCGACGTGAAAGGAGTGAAGCCGAGCGCCAAGATCAACGCGCTGATATCTATGCTGGAGAAGACGAGGGCCAAGGATCCAAATATCAAGTCGGTGGTGTTCTCCCAGTTCTCCACGATGCTCAAGCTCATCGAGGGGCCACTCCAAAAGGCCGGCTTCAAGTTCGTCAAGCTCGAGGGCGGCATGAGCGCCAGCAAGAGGGAAGAAAACATGGAAGCGTTCAAGTCGACACGCAGTGGCTCGCCGACGGTGTTTCTTCTCAGCCTCAAGGCCGCTGGAGTGGGATTGAATCTGGTGACGGCGTCCAACGTGTTCATGATGGACCCGTGGTGGAATCCGGCGGTGGAGGAACAGGCCATGGATCGAGTTCACAGGCTGGGACAGACGAGAGACGTTCATGTGTTTCGGCTCATTGCCACGGACAGCATCGAGGAGAGGCTGCTCCAAGTCCAGGAGAAGAAGAGGGCGTACGCACAGATCGCGCTGGGAAAGGAGGCGTCCGAGCAGCGGAAGAAGAAGTGCGTGGAAGAAGTGAAGCTGCTCATGAAGTGCTAGATCGCTGGCGAAAGAATTAAAATTGTTTGATTATTTTGCAGGTAAGATTTAAACAAACCAGTTTACTTTAGTTGACCATTATTGACCTTAGTTGGCTGGGAACAAAGGTTAGATAAGTGCTAAGTTATGCCCTTTTAACTCAATATCCGGCACAGGTTGCTTTAGGAGACGAGAAAAGGCATTAATTTAGTCTCTGCGTTTTATTTCTCAAGTTGTTTCTCACTTTTTGGTTTCTCCAATCAACACAGAAAATAACCGAATTCTCATAACAGGAGGAATTCCTACTGCTCTTTGCCTATCCCTCCCCAAAATTGCCACTCCAAACCCCATGAATCTTCTTTATTCCTTATTCCTTCAGGTCACACGCACTCAGAATTCGAGCGGCTTCTTCTATCCTGCGTCTCCAGGAAAGTTGTTAATCAACAACGCTCCAGCATCTGACGATCATCACTAAATAGCTGCTTTAAATGCTCCATCTACGTTGTTTGATGCCAGCCACGTGAGGGGCTCGAGGAAACGAAAGCGGAAATTCAACTTCTGGTTGCTCTTCTCTTACACATTTCGATTACAGGAGTTCTCTATCAGAAAAAGGATAGAAACAATGCAGATGAAGGTTCAGGCCCCAGGCAGCAGCTTCTGTGAGGATGTAGTACATTTGAGATCACCATACGGCTGAGACACGTGGTGACATGTGGTGGATCTGGAGAGTCACAACTCTCACCTGTGTATGTATAGCAGTGATGATATTCGAGTGATAGAGTTTTTCTCTTCTTCCTTAGTTTTCAACATGGTATTAGAGCTCAGGGATTAAATTCTAGGCTGAATAGAGGATGAAGAGGAGGAAGACGATGAGCCCCCTGATCTAGAGCGGCTGTGAATTGCAAATATCAAGATGGAGGTTTTCTTGTTTATTTTGTCTTGTGCAGGCAACCCTAAAATTGAGGCGGTTCTTGATCTAGATTGGAATTGGAAGGGTTGCAGCACTGCTTGCTACTGCTGGAGACGATCTGATGCCCCTGCTGCTACAAGGGAAGGCTTCCTTGGGCTGGAGATTTGCTGATGCTGCCAAGAGGCTTCTCTTCTTCCTGGGAATTGCTATGTGCAAGGGCCTTGAAGCTGATGGGGAGATCACATTTGAGTGGGGGACATAGAACAAGATATTGGTTCCTGACGGGTCCTGATACAAGCTGGGCTGTGTGCAAGCTTGGGTACCTTGGAACATACTGTTATTATTGTTCAACACCACAAGATTCTGATTTCATGAGCTCAGCTTTTCTCAGCTGAGTGGGGGGAGTGAGATAGATTCACAATGGTTTAGCATTAGTTTCTTTTTTTCTGACCCAGCTTTGGCACATTGATCTTGAGTGGGGGTGTAACAATGTAGTACATCTGAGATCACCATATTTCTGAGACACATGGTGACATGTGGTGGATCTGGAGAGTCATAACTCTCACCTATGTATGTATAGTGGTGATGATATCTGAGCAAGAGACTCCGATACCATGTTGAAAACTAAGGAAGAAGAGAAAAACTCTATTGCTCAAATATCATCACTGCTATACATATATAGGTGAGAGTCCAGATCCACCACATGTCACCACGTGTCTCAGCTGTATGGTGATCTCAAATGTACTACATCCTCACACCCCCACTCATTCGAGATCAGCATGCAAAGGCTGGATCAGAAAAAAGAAATTAATGCTAAACCACTGTGAATCTATCTCACTCCCCCACTTAGCCAAGAAAATTTAACCTCATGAAATCAGCATTTTGTGGTGTTGAACAACAATAGCAGCACGTTCCAAGGTACCCAAGTTTGCACACAGCCAACTTGTATCAGGACCCATCAGGAACTAGCATCTTGTTCCATGTCCCCCACTCAAATGTGATCTCTCCATCAGCCTCAAGGCCCTTGCACACAGCAATTCCCAGGAAGAAGAGAAGCCTCTTGGCAGCATCAGAAAATCTCAGGAAGCCTTCCCTTGTAGCGCATCAGATTGTCTCCAGCAGTAGCAAGCAGTGCCACAACCCTTCCAATTCAAATCCAGGCCAGTCTCGATCAAGAACCGCCTCCATTTTAGGGTTGCCTGCACAAGACAAAATAAACAAGAAAACCTCCATCTTGATATTTGCAATTCACAGCCGCCCCAGATCAGGGGGCTCATCATCTTCCTCCTCCATTCAGCCCAAGATATAATCCCTGAGCTCTAATACCATGTTGAAAACTAAGGAAGAAGAGAAAAACTCTCTCGCTCAGATATCATCACTATTATACATACACAGGTGGGAGTCGTGACTCTCCAGATCCACCACATGTCACCATGTGTCTCAGCTGTACGGTGATCTCAGATGTACTACATCCTCACAACTTCACTTTGGAGAGGCTCATGGCAATCTTCTCATGCATTGCAACAGGGATTTAGACACAGGTTTTCTGCTCACTGTGCAGGAATGAAGGTCACGTCAGTGCAGCTACAATGCTCGTTGGCGTTGGTCAAGGAATCACTCATCCACTTGAAGGATTTCCAAAGCTTCGGTGCATTGGTGTGCTTTCCTGTTTGATTCCTCTTTTAACGAAGCTTTGCATATCGCTCTGGGAGCACTAGTTTTCCAGTGGCCAAGGTGTTAAAACTGCTCAAGTGGAGTAGATCCATGTCGTCGTCGATGATGTTCTTGTGGGAACTTCGGGCTGAACTCGAACATCCAGGTCATTGTATGCTTGTCATGTTCGCCTTTCTTCGTCCTTACTGCTTCTTGTCTCTTTTTCAGGCTGAATATGTGGCGTATCTAACTGGTAGAGTAGAAGAAGATCGAAATGCAAGCAGCCTGTATCACCACACCGGCTGGGTGCCCATACTTTCTGCAAATCTCACTTTAGAGGAAATGTTGTAAAGCACAGATGAATTCGAGAAGTCTGAAGGCAGGTCACAATATAGAGAAATTCTCCCTAGCCTTGAACACGAGTTGCTACTTCCAGGGCTTGGGCCAGTGCTTGACACTGCATCGCTCATGTCAACGCTGCTTGTCCTAGTCCAGATTCTTGAATAGAACGAGGGAGATTCAACTGTGTGGGGCGAATACTTTGAGCACCCCATGTTAAACGTTGGTGAGTCAACCAAAGGAGGCTATCAGTTTTTTGCCTTAGATTACCACTTGCAAAAAATCTAACAAAAATCTAATCTAAGGATTGCTGAATAGCATTTCTGAGACGCTTGAGAATATCATTAGTGATTTGGAAGGCCTTCTTGAGCACTTCATCGGCAATGGCAGGACTGGAAGCAAATATCGCCCTTGGAACCTGGGTGATTCCCGGGATCTGAGAGCTCAACCCAGTATAGCGTGGTAGCGCTTTGCTAAAGTTGGCATGCAGCTAACCAAATAAGTTCTAAAGAGACCATACATAGACAAAGCGACCATATAAACTAATCACCTTTCTAGACCTTAGGTTGATCGAGGCTGTGATATGAGGATCGCTTTGTTGACGTTAGTTTTCATTGTTTCTGTGGGACTTACCAAATCAAATGGCATGATCAAGAAGCCTCTGGTCATTCTCATATCTGTTGATGGATTCAAATGGGGTTACCAGTTTAAGACGTCCACTCCAAACATTGACTTCATCAAGGAGAATGGTGTGGAAGCTTTTCCGGGTATGATTCCAGTGTTTCCCACAGTGACAATGCCAAATCACAATTCCATTGCTACTGGTACGTCATAAAAGATTTTCTTATTTGTTGGTAAATCAATTAATTTAAACAGGTTTGTATCCTGCATGGCACGGAATTATTGCCAATAGTTTCGTGGATCCATCAGACCCTTCATTTCCAAGGTTTAACGTCTCGTGGGCGGATCCAAGGTGGTGGCACGGAGAGCCTCTTTGGGAAACGGTAGTTAGGAATGGACTCAGAGCTGGAACTTATCTATGGCCGGGGAGTGAAGTTGTAAGAGGCCACTGGACTTGTCCTCAAGAGTACTGTGCTCGCCTTGCAAACTCATCTCTTGCCTTTGAGGACCGCATTGACTCCATTCTAAAGTTTGTGGACATGCCAGTTTCCAAGCGGCCAAGCTTCATTGCTGTTTACTTTGACAATCCGGATCACGCAGGGCATGCCTCGGGACCAGACTCGCAAGAGCTCACAGATGCTGTGAGCAACATTGACAAGATGGTTGGAAGACTCTTGGATGGTCTGGAAGCGCGTGGGATACTCAATGATGTTCATATTATCATGGTTAGTGACCATGGCATGGTAACGAGCTGCGAGAGTAAGGTGATTTATCTCGAGGATTTGGCTCCATGGATCAGAATCCCTGATGAATGGTATGACTGGGTTGGAGCAGTAGTTGCATTGAGACCTCCAAGAGGTAATTTATGTGATAACTCTATTTTGACTCTTATTGACTAAGCTTTTGACCAGGTTTTGATGCAAAGCACATTGTGAAGAAGATGAACGAGGGATTGCAGTCAGGAAGGGTGAATAATGGACAGTTCCTCAAGGTTTTCCTCAAGGAAGATTTGCCAGAAAGGTTACATTTCTCACATGGCAAGTTTGGTCAACCTATCATTGGGTTGGCTTCAGAAAGCTATACTGTGAAGCTTGGGAGATCAACAAATAGTAGCTGTGGAGGTTTTCATGGTTATGACAATGCGTACTCCTCAATGCGGTCTGTTTTCTTTGCTCATGGTCCAAGATTTCCGAAACGAAAAGTGGCATCGTTCCCTAATGTGGAGATATATAACATAATCACCACAATTATAGGAATTCGAGGAGCCCCAAACAATGGAACACTGTCATTTGCTCGTGATATTTTGATTTGATATTCAAAAGGCATATATGTACTTCTTCAATTAGGCTATTAAGAAGAAAGATTTGAGTACTCAAGGCTGTTGCAGCAGTGAACTTCTGTCATCATTTGGGCTCTCTCCGCACTTTCCTATTGGAAGTGAAGTTGCAAATCTGCGTAATGTTCAGAGATGGATAAATGTATCGACCTGTGAGCAATGCCTTTGACAACTGCCGATAGAACGACTCGGTAAAGTGAACGCCATCCCAGCTGACGTACTCCGAAGGTTTCAAAGTGGTACCGTTTGGCTGGATAACTAGTCCGCATGGCTGAGTAACGTCAAAGTTATATTCCCCTCCATTCCCGCAACATGCTGATAGTTTAGTCTTGTTTTGGAATCCTGGAAAGACATAAATGAGTGTAATTACAATAACACCACATGATCTCACCATAAACTAGCGGTTTATCCAGGACATCCAAAGTGAATTTGTAAGCATCTGCATAAAGAAGATGAAATCCCGTCCTGTTCTTTTGCAAGACTTGGATTTCATCATACAACTGCTTGTTGAACGCTTCCGCAACTTGGTTAAAAGGGAGAAGACAACCCCGAGAGTCCTTTGGCATATATTTTCCAAATACGCTCAGCAATACCGGCATGCAGCCGTGAGGGAACGTGCTGAAGACCAACAAGTTTTGTGCGCCATGCTCATGGAGACTCTATTAAAGGCTTTAGAACAACTTCAAGACTGAATGCAACTTTGTGTACCCGTAATGCGTGAGAGATGGCTCTCACAACGTATGGAACAACCTCAGCTGTTACATTCTCAGGGCTTCTATGCTCCAACAAGTAGGAATTGAGAAGGTCGTTAGTACTTATGACAACCGCATACAGAGCAGTCTTTAGATGATGATAATAAGGAACTAGCTTTTGCATCCCTACAGAGGAAACTATGAATGACACTACCTTTGCAAAGTCTGAGACGAATCATTACCTTTACCATGTCCGCTGTCGTAAGCATCCTGCTTGAACCTCAGAAACTGGTCAATCTGAACCGGAAGGTACAGTGGGACTTCGAAGCTGGTGTTCAAAGCAGTCGCTCCAGAGACCGCAAAATTCACCCCGTTGGCATAATTCGAGTTAATACTTTGCAAAATGGGATCCAGGAATCTATCATACTCAAAAGCCTCCGCTGCAAAAAAATACACGAATAACATCAAACGCTGTTTAATCAACGCACACAATTACCAAAAAAG